ATCAGCTACCGGACTCTAGCTCCTAACAACGAGATAACAATCTGTTAGACTAACTAGCGTTATTGCCAGTACCGACAGCACATAGCCTAAGATTGAACACTTAATATTACACCATAATCAGAACATCACAAACATTTCACTAGCTCTAGCTTTTCTATATGTGCAAATGCACACATAAATAAACAGTGGCCAAAAAATGACTGGCACCCTAACACAGAAACATACTGTCATGTTCCACTGCTTATCTCTACTTAAATTCAGTGCTCACAAAATGCCTCCAGGCACTGTATCATGAATATTCAGCTAAGCTGCACCTTGACCAGTGTGTCCTATTTTAGAGATCTCTGTTCAAAAAGTAGCGCTGACTTTCCCTCTAATCCATTATGCTTCTGTGTCATATTTGTTTACAATCAATTTGTTGCTGCAGCAGTCCGGTTGCACAGAGACAGGAGCCTGAAGGAAGAGGCCATGTTTCAGAGCTACCCACTCTTGTAACAGTTCAGTGGGTACGCCTTGGCGGTGCTGGAGGGAGTGCAGAGGAGGAGAGAGCTGGAGAAGGCGGGGGGGGTTGCTAGTATCGAGGGTATAGACTAACAGTAGAAAGTAGGGAAGGCTGAGGAGGAGAGATAGTGCAGGACTCATTATCAACTACAGCAGTCGAGAGTTTAGCAGACATGAGGAGAGCTCCTGGGGGCCTTCAGCACACACATCCACTCTTTCCCCTCACTTTACTCTGTCGACTCTTACTCATTTTCTCATCCTTCTGTCTTTTTTTCCACCGGCATCACGCAGATTCACACAATATATTTTTTAGCACTTCTGCTCATGCAGTCCATAAATCTTATTTATGCTTTGTATATTTCTAATGCTGTCTCTACCTTCCTCTCTGGGTGTCTTTTCTTTGGTGAGAGGGTATGAAGAGCACACAGAGTTGGCATCAAGACCTCTGAGAGCTATCAGAAAGAGACAGGCTCTCCCTGGTTGTCTTGCTTTGTTACAGATTGTTATCAAGTGTGCTGGAGGACACATTGTGCACGTGTGCACTGGCTGACTGAATGTGTTCATGAAAAATACGTGTCTATGTACAACGTGTGAGTGTATGCATTCACAAAAGCAGGCTGGACACCCCAGAGGGAGAGGCGACAGCTCGCCCGTTAATTACTCAAGTTAATAGAGCAGCTGCTGATTCACTCCCCTGTCAGTGAGATTCACAGCGGGACGGGGAGGCTCGGGCAGGACATGTGAAGCATTAAGATGGACGTGCTGTGACTCTGGAAGGAGGCTAAGTAAGGTAAAGAGATGAGCCATTAGACTGATGTAGTTCAGGGACTTCAGCTGTGTCTGGATGAGGACACAACAGAAACTTTTCAGACAGCGGTCACAGGCAGTAATTGAGGGTGCTCTTAGGATTAAGTTTAAAAAGTTCCCTAACATGAAATGTTATGAGGTTCTTAGAGGGGACTTTGAAGCGCAATTCCCCAATATTATGTTATGATTTTCATCTCTTAGAAAATTTTCTTGCTTTCTAAATTACGTCTCCTCCGTAGCCCCTGAGTCCTCCTGGCCAACTTGTTTCCATGGCAACATGTCCTCAGACAAACCCATCTACTTTAAGTTGACAAAAAACAGAGAAGTGGTAAGTTAGCTAATTAAAGACAAAATTTGGTGAATGTACTGTGCTAGCATTCAAGCTAACAAGCTATATATTAATTATGGAAAACTTTTACTGTTCGGAATGTACAGTAAGACAATTGGTTGACATTTATGAATTATATTCAGAAAATGTATTTCTTACTATTGAGCTTTATGATATCCAAAGGTCACTTTGACATGAGTGCTCGTGTTAGTCATCATTTAAATCTTGTTACAAACAGCATTGAGGTTAATGCTGTTGCTAGTCATTTTCAGTTTAAAAGCACCTTTAACAATAATTGTTGTAATTTTGTCATGCCTGAATTCAGCTCTTTGCATGAACACTGAACTATGCTATGCTAACAAAACAAATCACATGAAAAGAACTACAGACTTATTATGTGTGTCCTGTCTTACCATACAGCACAGTCACATAGATCAAATACCAAGATGAAAAACACTTAAAGTTGTTTTTCTTACACAAAATGGGAGCAAGCCTCATGCACAACAATTGGACACTTCGCATGCTCCTCTATTCACAAATCAAGCATGCAATAACAATATTTATGACTAAAAATATTAACACTAATTAGAGGAAAATGCAAAACAAACACCAGATACACTTACCTGCACACAGAGTACAACACAGGAATTGTAAATGGAGGCAGTGGGTAATGTTCGTGTGCACTTGCTTGTGCGTGTGTGTAGCGGTGGGTTGTAAGACTCGGGGGAGACTGAATCGATGAGGATGTAAGGCCATGAATGCAAAAAAGAAGTGCAAGGGATGATAGAAGGTTCTCCCAGAAAAGAACAGTCAGCATGTCTCTTTACAGCACTTTTGCATCCATGGTATAATTGTGGCATAAGCAATGTGAGGCACTGTAAATCTGAACTTTAAATCTGCTTGCTCTCTGTAACAATACTATCCTGCTGCTCATACTGTAAACGTGTGCTCAGTGTCATTACATACAAATCAAAAAGTCAGATTTTATGTTCCAGTGAATTACACAAGTGGAAATTACTGGTTACATTTTTCCAATAGAGCAGGAGAGTGGCTCTGAGCAGGGGATAGGAAGACATGATAATAGGATGCCAGAAATTCAAATTCAGCTTGGACATGAAAAATGGCAACAGAATGGTGAAATATTCACACGTTAATTAGTGTCTATAAATAGAAACAGTCTGAATTTGTGGCATAGAAATGCTGAGTGCTCATCAGCACAAAGGGTTCTGCTTTCGAAGTACATTAGGAGCAGAGGGACGCACTGATAACAGAGAGGGTGTGAGATTACGATAAGCCTCATCCCTCCAGTTTCTCTGCACAAGATTTCAAATCTGAGAGACAGAAGGGGGGAGCTGATGAGGAGAAGTGTTACTGTGGAGGAGATTGATTTGTGAGAGCTGGGGAACTGCCCAGGAGAGGGCGCCCCTGGCTCGATGGAGTACAGTAGAGCAGAACACATGCACACAGACATGGGCGCGCGGGCACACACACACACACACACACACACACACACACACACACACACACACACACACACACACACACACACACATAATGCAGGCGTTTTATTCATATTCACCAGCAGGAGATACCAATCCTTTCACAGCCATTACTTTTAAAGTCTCCGCCAATCTTACTTGCTCTTCATCATTTTCCAGATATTCCAACCCTCATACTCTGCCCTCTCTTTCCTCAAGCCCTACACTAAATGTTTCCACTCATGCCTCTCCTTAGGCAGACCCATGACTGACTCAACACTACTGTACTAACTAATGACTGTCCTCCTTCAGTGCTAGTGTTAATTTATGCCATACGTTTAGTAAATACAACAGCCGTACGTCATCCAACCAGTAGAGACAAGTAATGCTTATTAAAAATGGACATGATGCAGTCTTTGCATCCACTGACAAAACAAACTGTGTTGCCATGGAGACAGGATGCCATGGTAGACATTATAAATACAGAAACTACTGGGGGCACTGAGGTTGTTAGCAGCTGTGCCAGTGTGCCTTGCTGAAGTTGTTCAGCAAAAGCTCTGAATTGTGTTTGAGATGGAGCTGGTGGCTGAATCATGATCTATGAACTTTAGTACTTTAGTAGTTTGACAAAAATGGTGGTTTGTTGATGCACCACTGCTGAGTATTCAAGAGAAGTGCCATGTGCTGTGTCTTCTTGACAGCGCAATCTATCAGAATAAAGTCATTTTCGGGGAGGGGCAACATTTTTCAAATGAAATGGAATTTGTAAGCGTAGTGTAGTCAAACTGATGTTGCTGTCAAGTCAACATTCAAATGTACACAATGTAGCCTACACATTAATGTATACACGTATCGACACAAACATCATGAAGTAAGACTACAACTTGCTCTCTATTCCAGAACAGTGTCTGCTAAAATATCCTTGCAAAAGTTTCAGAGCTTCACACATCCATATTCATAAGGTTATTTAAGGTTATTTAATAAGTGTCCACTCTGTCAGAACACCTTGTTCTAAGACCAGTCGAGAGGTGCACCCCTGGGTCCTCCATATTCATGCAGTGATTGCCAGACACCTCAACTAAACACACAGCAACTCATCCTGCTGGGAAAGTTAAGTCTTTTAAAATATTCAAAAAAACTTGAGCTAACATTTGTAAATCTCTTCACGCACTTCTCTGCTTCTGATTAAACTCGCATGGTACAAAAAGGGGATTAATCCATAACAGCAAGCCCCACCCATCAGGCTTGGATTGGATTCAAATTTGGTCTTTGTCTGGCTTATAGTATTTTAATGCTCAAAATAACTGTAAAACTATTGATTTACAGGTTTTTGTCAAGTTCCTTATCTACTTAAGTGCAGATGATCGCCGATATGCCCCATCAAACATTCATTTCACGCTGCGAGATGCACAGTTATCAGCTATAACTCGGAGTTTCCAAGCTCCAACATTTAAAACTCATAACAAGTTTCCAAGTCCCTCTTTATCAACAAGGTTGCTCCGCCCTTGCTCTATACTCTTCAGCATATGTCTCACACCTGGGAAGGGTGTGCAGTTACCTTTCCAGTCATGTGTCTGAGAATGACAACATTGTATGGTAGATATCACTCTTGCACTGTTGGAGAACAAAGTGCAAAACAGAGGGCAGAAGATCACTGCAGATAGCAATTACAAAGATGACAAAATGGCCATGAGTCTGACAAACGAGCGAACCGCTGCGTCGCCGACATGTGTCGGACAGTGAGGTTTTGTTAGTGGGATGGATGGTGTGGGAGCCCATGTGCATGCAGTCTCATTGCGGTCCAGAGGTTAGAGAGGTTGAGTCGCCAAAAGTAAACGCACAGAGAGGTAGAAGAAGTCATTATTGTGAGGACTGCGGCCAGGTACCTGAGTATATCTCCCTGCTCTTCAATTTCATCAGCAACCTCTTCACACCTGCAATAATGTGAAGAAGCCTGTCATCATCACAAGTTCGCAACAACTGGGCCCCAAATTTTACCCTCCCTCTGACATGTAAGTGGAGAAAATTACACAGAGAACCCCATATGATCTTAGATCCTTTAGAATTTTGCTAGAGGTAACATTGTGTATCGTCTATCGTGTAGTAGCAATAAAAGAGTAATAACTGTGTGAATCGCAATGATAAAGGGATCACTTTGTGGCCAAATAGTGAGGACGGGGTAAATCCCTATATAACAAAAGTAAGTGGAAATAATCAGTCAGGAAGAGTGCCATCAGCAGACGAGGTATGAGCTTACAGATGTTCAGAGCACACATAAAAACAGGTAGACAGACAAATGTGACCCCCCCACTGAGCATCCATTCCCTAGCATCACCACCCACTCATTACTCCCACTGACAGGCTCTCTCCTTCTGTCTCAGCACCGTGTGTGACTGGTGTGCTTAGTGGAGAGGGGACATCTGTTTGGTCCTTACCTGTGTTTCTGTCTGGTAAGATACAGCAATGCTTCTGCAGTATGCCTGGCAACACCTTCCAAGAAACAACAACAAAGGAGAGGGGAGAGAGAGAAAGAAAGAGAGAGAGAGAGAGAGTAGGAGAGACATTAATATCACAGCAGCTCAAAGCAGATAAACAAGTTGGAGCTCAGAGGAAAAGCACTGAGCCATGCTGTGACCCACAATTACAGAGTGGCAACAGACACCCATTTCTCACACCATTTGCATCAAAAGGAGCTGCTCCCGTATTTATCTAAGCCCTTTCTTCTGCACTGTGATCTGAGCAGTGGAGCACTAAATGATGGTCCCAGAGTGGATATGTGTGTGGAAGGTTCATTTTCAAATGTTCATCTCTGATTCAATCTACAAACAGTCAAAGGTGGGTTAAATGGTGTGTGAAAATATGATGCGCTTACAATCCATTGGGATAGAGCAGCAGAGAGATAAAATATTGCTCCATGGAGTTGTGTGTGTCAGTGTGTGTGTGTGTGTGTGTGTGTGTGTGTGTGTGTGTGTGTGTGTGTGTGTGTGAGTGTGTGTAGAGGGAGGGGGGGTTATCAGTCATTCTGGAGGGGTCATGTCAACGGGCCAATTTTAGAAGCCTTGTCTGCTCCATCAGCAGTTTCGCTATGCCAGGAAGTTGTAACAGCTAATACAACAGCCAATTATTACACTATTCACAAGCGCCTGAGGTGGTCATACTAATCAATAATGCATGCTTACATTCTACTCTGTGAAGAGTCCTCTAAAAATTTAATCGATCCAAGGTTGTATCTTAGCTGCTAATATTTTGCTATCATCACTTGTCTGCTGCAAGTGAACAGAAGACAGGGGATGACAGGTGCGAACAAAGCATCCTGTTTTCATTTCTATGCATGATAACAGTTCATGCTGCATACCATTATTGGTGTTCACAAGGCACAAATATGCAGAATCTATACTAGAAATAAGCACAGGGAACCAAAAGAAAGGAGGAGATGCGGAGGTGGCTCAGCAGGTGCTATCAGTGCCTTTTTGTCCTTGTATCTGACTGACAGGCTCATTGTTGTCCAAAATGACTTTAGTGATATAGACAAACCTCCTCTTCTTTCTCTCAGTTCCATTTTTTTCTGGGGATAGCGTTAACATTCCTTTACATATGCATTTGGTGGTTATCTCAGGCTCCTCCGTCTCTCAGAGTTATTGTACTTCTCTCTGGGACTGAACAGAACTGATCAGATAAGTGTCCCTTTTAATTAAAGAGAGGAGCATATAAAGGTAGCTCTTGAAAAGAGAGAGAAGACCAGGAATAAAAAATAGAAATGAACCCGAATGGCTCTCGGGGACATTCAATGAGATATCAACCCACTCCATCATTCATATATGAGGGGGGCCTCAAGCACATAAACTCTTGTCGTTCAGTCTCATTTTCTAATTTAACAGCAGCATATCAAGAGGTAATCTTGCCACAATATAAACACTACATAAACTGCATTTGTCTTTAGAATTTTAACCTGACTCTCAAACTCAGTTTGAATTAGACAGGTATGAACTCTCCTAGAACTTTTTTAAAAGTCTATACAACAAATTTTGGTGCTTTGAGTTTCTGGGCCTCAAGCAAAACTATGTTCATATTTTTAAACTAAATCTCTTGTGCGTTTGTGTGCGGTTCATATGAGTGTTCAAAGTGAGAGTCACCAAAACTCTCTTAACAAGACAAACCTGCAGTAAATCTCTGGTTTCAGCTGGACACATAGCACCTGTTCATGTCCCTCAAATGGCCATATGAGGCTGCCTGTTCCACTCCATATATGGACAAGTTTCACACAAGAGGGATAATCCAGGTCAAGAAGGCCATACAATTGTAGCTTGTGTTAAACTTGATGGCACAGAATGTCTGTTTAAAGCATATGCTGCCCAGTGAAAACCACACCCATCTCTAAATGTATTGATTTTGAATTTCTTTTACATAAACTGAAGATGAAGATTAGCTTACTTCTTAAGCAAAACAAACCACTCAAAAGTGCATTGTCCCAAACACGTCAGTTTTGTCTTGAAAAGTTGATGTTTTGGAGAAACATGTTTAGTGTACATTGGTAACATGGTCTGGTCTTAAAGAACCAGTGTGTAAGATTTATTGTAGCTGAAGAATACAACTCCATAGCCTCACACTCCCGTCCCAAAAGTACAGGAGAAACTACAGTGGTCGCGAAAAACTCGTAATAAACACAAAAGGCCCAATGTAGAGCCAGTGTTTAGTTTGTCCGTTCTAGGCTACTGTAGAAACATGGCGGTTCAACATGGTTGACCTCCATGGAAGAGGACAGGTTCCCTCTGTTGATTAAAACGGCTCATTCTAAGGTAACAAAAACATTCTTATTTTCCAGTGATTACACACGATACATTATAAATCATGTATCTATAATTGAAGTACCTTAATTATATTATATTATGTTTTATCTAATTTATTTAAATATGTTTTGCAGATAATAAATAAGTGATTTTATAGATTACTCCACAGAAGAGAGAACTATGCTGAAGATATGGACTCTGATGATAACCAAACAAAGAAATTGCATTTGTTATTGTAGTGACTTTGTATAAGAACATATGAGACAAAAGTAAATCTTTTTGTTTCATCATTGCACCTGTTTCACATAAACGTATTCTGTGCATGCATTCAGGCAGTACAAAAGAAAGCTGTGTTGTAGATAAAAAAAGATATGTCTGCAGAGATGAGAGGTAAAATGATTGGTTTGTAATGACTCAAACAGCTGCATGATGTACAGTTATAATTGATGCTGGCTAGCTGGCTGGCTCGAGATTTGTACTGGAGGAGTGTGGAAAACGAACTGTCAGGGACACTCTTCAGTGTTTCAGACACACAGATCTCTCACTTGCCTCTCATTTACGGTTTAAAAGGATTGGAGTCTGGAGGCAAGGCATCTAATTTCACAAGTGGAAATGCGTTAGGCATCTGTTTGTTTGTCTTTTTAACCTCATCTTGGGATGAGAACAAGAGAGGGTTTATGTCATGTTTCAACAAGAAAGATTTACAAGACACACAAAGACAAGCTGATGGACACGTATAACTGGGACAACTGGAAATACAAAAACAGTCAAGAATCTGTCTTGGTATTTTGGTAGTTTGAACAGGTTTGTTTTCTATATTATAAATAGCTGTTTTCATTCAAATCGCATTTTATAGTTATCCTCAAAGACCAGCCAACTAATTACTAATAATCACCCATTAAATTATTCAATTGAACCGTTTTGCAGTTTTTGTCCCATTCAATGGACATATAAGGAAAAAATAGATCCTTGAAAACAATCCAAAGCAGTGCCCTTAGGACTAGAGGCCCAATCTTGTGAATGAGTCTTCAAACCCCATTGAGTAAGTGAGTTAATAAAAGGCTCCATTTGGCAATGTTGTAGCAGTTTACCATCTTGCTCCTCCGATAGGATTGGTTGCCCTTCTCTTGTACCCTGACGCTGTAAGAAAGAGGATTCAGTGAAGACATCATTAAACGCACCTAAAGTCTCCAGGTATGGTCCATGTTATCACCCTGTTACATCCACACCTCTTGTGGCATATGGGGTGAAAATGCACGAGATAATATTGCAGTAAAGTATACTGTTTTGGTCTTAAAGCAGGCTATAAAAATAAACTGATTAAGGAATTATTTGCTCTTTATTTTCTATATTTCAAGCATATTTGTTCAAGAATGTTATGAGACAGAAGATCCCAGAACAGTCCCAGTCCCATATTCCCAGGATATTGTGTAAGCCATCCACATAATTTCAGTATGTATAGTATATCATTCTACACTACAATGTGGCATCATATATATCCACTATAGCCTCAATTTCAGCCACCTTTATAATGACTCATCATATAAAAACAGCTGAGCTTCTAGGCTAGAGTAGCGAGTAGTTGTTAAGTAAGCAGTAAGTAATTCAGAGTTATTTTTTCTGGAAATCAACAGAAAAACAAGGCTTATGGATGTTTTTGACAACTTTTCTTCAAATATAGTCATGTCTTGGACAAAGCAGGTATTGAGCTACGTGCCTCTTTTCACAGAGACATACTTTACAGCACAAGAGCCCTCAAGAGAGACGAAACACAGGCAGAAGCAGAAGAAGAGAGAAACAACCAAATGCACGCTCATTAACTGAGATGAACAATCAAACGGGCCGACTCAGGTGAGTCACACCCCATTTGAGTACATAAAGAAACTTTTCTCTCGGATATCTCTGAAAATGACCCCAGACACAATAGTGCTGATTACTTTCCCCCTGAAAGTCCATTTGACTGAGGAGATTGCTTTATCTACTGTTTGAGACTGCCTCATGAGACTGGAGAGTGAGGCTCAGATATAGCCTCTTTGATTTAAGTCGTGTACTAAACTGATGCTCATAAAAGTAAAGTTACAACATCAAAAAGTTCAAGTAAATTAGTTTTTCTTGTTGTTCAACTTCTAATTTTTCTGCTAGTGTGGACCACTGTGAGATGTGCGTGAACCCTGTCAACCCAGTTGCACTAGACTTTGGTGTAAATGCACCCAAACAAGTCAAGCTCCAATGCACGAGGTTCAGTTAATGGCTCTGCACATGAGCTGAGGCTCGGGGCAACACAGCCTAGTTTTGACCACGGCAGAGAGCGGTCAGCGGGGGCACCGCTCTTGTCCCAGTGTTCTTTCAGGATGCTCACAAATACCTGTCTACATACCGGGCGCAAACACACACACTCGCAAATATAGAGACACACTACCTATCTCCACACACTATTACTGCGGGGTACAGGCAATTATCACAAGTGGGAGTGTATAATAGGATATCTTGGCGCCTGCTGCTGAGGGCTAGAGTGCAACTCTTGGTGAGGTAATGGAGATCTGAGAGGACGGACGGGAAGTGGAGTCACTCCAATGCATTTCAAAGCTCTTCCTGTCTGCCTTGAGCGCTCTCTGCTCCCTTCTTACCAAAGCTATCAAATGAATGGAGTGCAGATTGAGCAGAAGATAAGATTTGCACTGTAACTACTCACCCCAGCAGTAACTAAAATAGATATGACAGACAGAAATGGACAAACTATGAATTAATATATATATTATTAATTAATAATATTGTTTCACTACACTGTAGTTCAATAGAAGTGGTAAGGAGTTAGTTAGTTGTGTGCAAATCCAGCATTCCCGTAACCTCCACTGTCATAGGAAAAACATAAATATGACATTTGTACTTTTTTGGAAATCTCAGTCTGAGATCTACCACGCACTAAAATATGTAGCATATGAGTCCTAACTCATACTGTATATTTCAGTTGGATTAATGTTCATGTAGGACACAGGAAGGCAGCAGACTTAATATACGACCTTTACTTCACTTATTTAGAACATCACCAGAGACATGGGCAGGCATGTAGATGAAAGGGAGAATGTGGAGCTGAGATCCAGATGCTAAGGCATGGAGGCAAGTGGTGCATCTGGTAAGTGCAGGGATATGTTTGCAGGGTCGGATGGAGGTCAGAGCTTTTGCCTAAAATCCAAGGATCATTTACAGGATTATCTTATCTATAATAACGGCATAAGCATGTATACCCAACGTTGGAGGGGAGCTATGCAAAGGTGAAACCCAACTAGGTGCACTGTAATGACTGCAACAGCAGCATACAGCATTAATGTCAAACAGCTTGACCACATTAGGACGATTAAAGCGCAAAGTAATTCTCTGGAGCTCAATCAAATCTCTTAGACCTGTCCCAATCTAAAATTCTGCTGCATTGATGTCCTTCACTTGAAAGGGCTATTTTATTACGCTGATTTATTCAAGTTCATCGCCCGGTTTAAAGGGTCTGGTAAAGACTCGGTTGTAAAAGAGCCGGGCCTTCCGCCAACAGCAATGGTATTAGGACTTATTCTCTACAAGGGAGACCTCAAGTACACTTGGAACTGTACAGGGTCTTGCACCTGCATTAGTATCAAATTTCACACTTTGACAGTGTTAACACAATGGGCCTTAAGGGACACATTTATAATTCCTTTTAGACCATGAGATGATTTACCTTTGTCTCTCTGTCAAAGAGATTCAAAGCCATACAGCTGAAAGAGACATGGGTAGTCGTTGTATCTGCTGTGCCATCTTTCAAAGGACAGCGGCTTTTATGATGAAAATATACTAGTGTGGCTGACATAGGTAAATCATAAATGATATTACAAACTGGTATCAAACTGTCCGTATTTATGACTGTCCAATTAGGAATGCTTACAGATAGTCTCCCAGCTCGCTTATGAACGTTGTAATGATTCACATCTGACTTAGGGCTGTATGTGACAGCTATTGCAGTAACAGTAACACTGGGAAAATGCAGTGACACCCACCCGCCTGGAAAATCTGCACCCACTGCAGCACAAAGGTGATTAACTGAGTAGTGCACAGGTGTACACACATACACATACTGTATATATAGTATACACACTTGGCTCTCATGCATTATTAGATTCATAAAGCTCTGTCCCATCCAACCCCTCCATCCCCTGTGCATCCCTCTACTGAAGCCAAACTATTACAGATGTGGGGGGCATTCATCAGGGAAAGAATAGAAACACAAAAAGAGAGGAAACACGGGGACAGTATCAAAGTATCTGCCACGGTGAGTGGATGAATAAGGAAAAAGCCTGCTGAATGTTTAAACATTTACTTTTAGTCAAGACTAGTCTACATTCACCGCTGCCGCTCTCCCCCTGTAGACCAAAATGACATCACTGCACGCATAAATGTAGCGTTTCAAGTTTTCTATGCATCTTCAAACAGATTATGAGAGCGTTATCATGTCACTGCCAAGTAGGCAAAGTCCACACAAGCCTCCCATTGACAACTCTGTGACAGTCTGTTTGTGTGGGCGTGTGTGTGTGTGTGTGTGTGTGTGTGTGTGCGCTTGTGCATGCAAGCAATTTAACAGCAGCGTTGGAAACATCCTGAGACAAGCTACCTTCAATTCTAAAGTGCTTCTGAGGGGAAATAGTGTCAGTTTCCAATTAGTTTTTTTTTTTTTTTTTTTGTCCTTTATTCTTTGTACGCGAGTGGTAGCTTTTAATTAGGCTCTCATCTTTTTAAGTGAAGAAATTGCCTGGTAGGATGAGTAAAGATTTCTCGTATGAATCATCAAGCTTTCGTTGAAAGACTGGTTTAAAGAAGAGGGGTGTGAAGTCATGTGGATGAGGTGAAAGGTGGGCCCCCCCTAAAGCTCGTAAGTGACAAGTAATTTATTTTTCAGTCAGATAAGGACTAACAGAGGTGACATGAATTTCTCACCTGCCACCTGGTACCTGTCTACCCACAGGTTCCAACTCTTTTAGGTATACACAAACTACATATGCATACATATTGCACAGGCACATCCAGGCAATGCATACAATTAAACTCCTTACTGATTAATTACATTTTCTCCTGAATGCTTTCCGCAACTACCACTGCTCTAGAGCACTTCTCGCCACCTGCATAATGAATGAACATGGGACAGTTTTCTAGGACCTGAAATAAAACATGCTTGCTCCTATGCCAGAAAATGCAGTTTCCATGTATGAAGTGCCTTGCAGTGCACCTTGAGTTTCAGAGACTATAGAGTAAAAAAGACCATCACTTACACATCAAAGTTTCATCCACAGCAGCTGTGTGTCATTGAGGGAAGGCTGCCTGACCACTACTGTCTATAAATAAAGACTTTTTGTATTATTGAGCAAGGTAGGAGTAAAACATCAAGGAGTATCTTGGTAAAACTTTGAGATGCGAGGGTGAACAGCAATAACTCCATTGAGCTTCTAAAGCACTGCAATGAATATGGTCCCCTATTTTTAGAACCTCTGTGATTATGATGTCTGACTATGTGAGTGCTGGCAGCCAGCATTTTGTCAGTCACAGAGTGTGCTGAGTACTGTGTATTTGCTGTGGAATCGGCAGCAGTGCTGAAGCAGACATTCTATACAACTTCCTTTTTTTGTGCCGCTCAATCATTGGAATCTATTGGAGCTGAGACATTAATACATGCAACGGCACTGAATCTTAAACAATATGATGTGTCAGTGTACAGCTGACAGTGATGACAAGCTTTTTACACAAACAGGCAACTTTTTTTTTATCTTTAAACATCCTCAACAACAAAAAAAGGTTGATTCCTACACAAGTAATAATCCCCCATTCATAGGAGTACAAGTCTCACTACTTGATTAATCAGAAGGCTTGTGGGAATTTCGCATATGCTGTTCAACGCCCGAGGTATTATGTAACATGTTTACACAGATCTGTGTAGTTCCTTGATTCTTGCAAAACCTACAACTCCTCCAATGCCTTCTTTTGTTAAGCTGTATGGAGTTCCACTCTCATTCAGGATTGCCAGCGCTGGGCTTGGGGCTCTGTCAGACACAGTCAGTGAAGCTCATCCACCCACTGAGACTACAGTCAGCATGGTACATACAGTATTACGTGACAGTGCACAAAAGAAGGGGTCCGGGGAGATCAAACTGACATAACATCCATTTGAGAAGTTAACCTTGTGCTAAGAGCGCTTTTTTCTGCCTGAAATGCTCCTCACCCAAGCCTCCTCCTCAGGGATAAATGTAACTGCAGGAACGACATCCATGAGGCAAATCAGAGGAGTGGTGGACAAAATTCACGGGCATGCCAAAGTGAAGCAAAAATTATATTATATTTTGTTTATTGTGATGCTTGACCATATTAAAACACATTTAATTTGTGGCCCCTAAAATAGTTGAAATAATTATGGAAGGGTTTTAACAATTTTATCACTCTGAAAAAGCCAGTAGTCCAAAAGTCTGGTTACCTTACACAATTAAGAAAATCCTGCAACCAAACTGCTTACACACACCCATTTCTCACTACTGCATATATCTTCTCATTTACTGTAAAATTGTCAAATCCAATGTTTAAATCCTGCACATGTCATATTTTAGGAGTTAAATATGTGCTCAAAGATGAATAAGACAGAGAAGGGGGATTTACCTTCTTCAGAGCTGACATTCTAGGTGGATCCTCCTCCTGCAAAACCCGTTCACATGCTGAGGTCCCAAGCCAAGTTTGGAGGGTGCGCAAATCCTAACTCAACCCGGTGCTGATGCTGAGCCATGAGGTGCCTGCTTAGTATTCACATCTCGCTTCCAGCCCGTCCTACAGCTGGCTCTCTGTGTGCGCACGCCCAAAACCCGCTGCTATTGCACAATTCAGACACACGGGGAGCTCTAGTCTGATGCATCGCACTCAGCGGACTTCATGAAAGAAAGTTGGCAAGTTAAACTCACCGCAAATATAAATTGGGCTTAATTATTTTGGCAGGAAGACATGCATGCGAAAGTGACTCAATATAATTTACTGAGTCTGATTTTAATTCGTCTCACATTCAGTATCACAGAAGCAATATGCCTCAGTAAAATGTAAACGTATTACTCTGTACTGTCTGTTTTCTTTATCAAACACAGTGGTCGAGTAGTACTAAAGAAAGCTGAAATAAGCTAATATATTATTCTGTTCAAAGCCAATTCATATGCCGATTTGAAGAAGGCATTCGACTAATTAAAACAATATATTGGTGTATGATATACAGGATACGTGTCTTTCATGACAAATAAGGATACATTAAATTGTCTTTAGTTTGAATGGAAATCGGCGCCACAGGATCATGTGAGGTCTGCCTGTGTAGTCAGTCGTACCAGTCTGTGAGCTGCTATCTGCTGGAGGGAGTGTAACTGCTGGAGTCCGATAATTAATGCACTTCGACAAGCATATAACGTTAGCTGACTGAGTTTCTGAAGTAGCTCCAGACGTTTCTTTAGCTATTTCAACACGAACACGTTTCACTGCTGTGTGCTGTTGTAACCATTTTGTTGTGAAGGGAGTTGATTTTAAAAGCTAACAGACCGGGTAGCTAACTCGGCTAACGCTAGCTGCTAGCACGTTAGCTATAGCCACATGTTACATTTAGGTTTCCGTCCCCTTCGCTTCGACTCAGATATCTGTTTATGTCGGTATGGCCCGTAGGAAGGAAGGTGAGCATCCCCGGTGTGGTGGACAACAACATTAATCCCATATAAAAACCCACAACGGCCAGGCGACTAGCTAGCTAACGTAGCTACCATGCTAAGTCTCGCGTTAAGTAGCTACGTTGTAAACAAATGCACGTGTTCACTGGCTAACAGTGGTCCGACAGTACAAAGTAATCCTAACCTGTCAGTGGCAGTTCACGCTGACCTTATATAATTAAGCCCCCGTAAAACGTGATGATTGAACGGTCGATGGTGCTTTGTAGAGTATAGGTAAAATACTCAAATTTGGGGCACAGGGCAGTGCTATTTTTATTATTATTATTATTATTATAACTCTAACCCTAATTCCCCCAACATGCATGTGTATACACCAGCACATCTTTCAACATGGTTGCTTCTTTGAGTTCATCCCTTGTTCTACATTGGAAACTCATATGAGAACTTGATGTGTGAATTAAACCTACTCCACACTTAATTGAATTGCATTGTTTAACTGTCAGATTTTAGCATGAATAACATTATGTATTCCTTCAATACTAAGAAGTCAATTATCTTACAATACAGAGGCATTAACAGGTAGTGTTGTGTTCTTATGTATTTTGTGTCCTATGTCTTGTGTACTTAGCATTTCAGTCAAAAGTACTCCAGAAGCTCTACCCTGCAGCTCCCAAATTGGAGAAGGAGCCCAGCCCACCACACATTGTAGAGGCCCTCGCCAAAAAAAACTACGTGAAAAGAAAAGCCTCCCAAGAGGACACGGCCACTGGTAAGATTACATTCAGTTCACTAGCGATACGGCTTACAAAAGTAATTTTTTGGGGGGATAAAAATCACTCTTTTCTGACTTTTCCCTTTGACCCTCTTCTCTTTTTTCAAATTACACACATTATTATACTACCACATTACATATATGCAAAGCTGCTGCCACCCTGCTGCTCTTACTATTGAGGTTTATTACCTTCCTTTATTTGCTATGTCTGTCTCAGGAAATGCAGGGAAGACACAGAGTGCAGCCATTCCAGGCAGGCGGATTTACACGGTCCTACCTCCTCCTGCAGACTTCAAGACAGATTCTGAGAAATCCGTCACACTCCCCCAGCTAGAAAGCACAAATAGTGCCGAGGACCCAGCTGGTGAGACGACCATAATCTTACATTTATGTACTTGCGATGTGCGCCGTAAAGTTAGGAGAGATTTACGGCATGGAGTTTCTCCAGGTTGGCACTCTCTGTTATTAAAGTCACTCTTCTGGATTGTCCCTGCCACACCACTAGCTAAGGGAAACAAATAGTGATAATCAGTTGTGTTTCTGAACTGAGGAGAACTTGAATGCAGTGCAGATGGTCTAAAAGCCTGGGAGATTTTCACTTTAATCTGTCTGTTGAATGTTGTTTGTTCGAGTAAACTTTTACAACTTATCTAGGAAATACTTACCCCTTGTTGATGCCATCTTTGACTCTGAATTGTGAGCTGACGTTAATGCCAAGCTTGAGCTGTGAAGGAAAATAATTGGCTGGCAGTTTCATTCATAGATAAGTCACACGCGCTGCAGTTAATATGCATCATTTAGTTATTCTGTCTGCGCTCTGTCTTGTTGTGAACCAGTGGAATGATCAGACTATAATAAGAGTCCTGGCTCACTGCATGTGTCTCTGTACTCATCATCTTCCTTAAAGATCCAGCGTGTAACATTTAGAAGGATCTTTTGGCAGAAATGGAATATAATATCTAAATCTTCCACAGAGGTTGCCATGTTGAACCACCATGTCTCTACAGTAGTCCATAACAAACAGAGCAAACACTGGCTCTACACTGTGTTCCAAATTATTATGCATATAACGTTACTGTTTTTGTTCTTATTCTTACTAAATAGTCGATATAGTTGGCAGTCAATAGGATTTTTTATTTCTCAACAATTATATCGTAATCTGGATTGTATTAAACACAATTACCAATGATGACAACGGCATTTTTTGCAAAATAACTCAAAATGCAGTGTTCCAAATTATTATGCAAAACAGAGTTTCAAAACACTTAATAGTTTCTAAAGGATTGAAAACTGAAATCTGTTGTATTTTTTGCATTAGAGGGGATCATTTTTCTCAAATCAAAGCTATTTAAATCAAAAACATCTTTAAAGATCAAATTCCATATTAACATAGGAGCCCTTCTTTGATATCACATTAACAACTCTCTCATCCATTGAACTTGTAAGTCCATGTACAGTTTCTGCCTGTATTTCCTTTGAGGATGCCAGAATTGCCTCCCAGAGCTGCTGTTTTGAGGCAAACTGCCACCCACCCTCATAGAGCTTCCTTTTAAGGATGCTCTACAGGTTCTCAATAGGGTTGAGGTCAGGAGATGATGGTGGCCACATACCAGGATTCTTTCTTCCTTAATCCCCATAGCAGCCTAGGCCTCAATGGTATTTGTTGCAGCATGGGATTGTACGTTGTCTTACATGAAAAGGATTTTACTCTTTTTATACCATGGAAATGGGCAGTTAGGAACTCCACATATTTTGCAGAGGTCATTTTGACACCTTCAGGCACCTTAAAGGGGCCTACCAACTCACTTCCCATGATTCCAGCCCAAAACATCCCTCCACCACCTCCTTGCTCACGTTGCAGCCTTGTTGGGACATGGTGGCCATCCAGAACTCCATCCATCTGGACCATCCAGTGTAGCACAGCATACATCAGTGAATAAAACTGTTAGACAATTAGTCTTCATGTATTTCTGAGCCCACTGCAATCATGTCTCCTTGTGGGCATTGTTTAAGGGTGGCCGAAATACAGCTTTATGCACATCTGCAAGCCTCTGGAGGATCCTGCGGCGAGCACCAGCAACTTCAAATACCTTTTTTACTACTCATCAGTGGCTTTTTCACAGCTGCTCACTTAATACCATGAATTAGCCTTACAGAAACTTTCCTTAATCTTTTCATAGGACGATGATCTCTCTTAATATTTCGTAAACTATCCAGTGGTTTCCATACCTATTGAAAGATACTGCACTATTTCACGCTTTTCATCTGCAGAAAGATATTTTTTCCCCCTATATTGCATGAAACCTGTGACTTGCTTAATAATGTGGAACATTTACAACTTAAGTAGTTTCCCATTAATTAGGCTCACCTGGCAAAGTAATCAAGACAAACCTGTCTGATATTGATGTCAGTGATCTAAACAGACATGGGAAGCAGCACAATTGAAAACTTAAATTGAAAAACAAAAAATCTAATGTTTTTTTTAATTGAAATCATATTTGCATAATAATTTGGAACACAGTGTATATAAGGCTCTTTTTGTTTTTCCACCATAGTTTGTCCTACATGCTTGGCAGGCAGACTTCACTGCTAGATGCTGCTGAATCCTATACACTGGTCCTTTAATACAGACCTCCACCCACTTGACAGGCTTCTGCTCAATCGGCAATTGCCTCAATGGAACAGAAGAGATTTGTTGGCCAAGGCAGTGCAGCATCTAAAGGTGCCCACTAGAATGAATGATGAGTAGTTAAGTTTGATTAATTGCACTCGTCAGCCTAACAGCGCCTTAATTGAATCACATTTTTGATTTAGTGGGCAGTGAGGCTTGATGGAAATTGCAGTCTAAAGTCTTGTTTAAGGTCGGTTTGGGTTGGGTTTCGTAAAGGTTTCATGATAATAAATCCATCAATGTAGCATTATAGAAACGGCAACAACAATAACGGATTGATGTGATGTGATATAGTAATGATTAATGTATTAAGAGTCAATAAGACAACCTCTGTTGTAGTTGAATTACCAGAGCTGTCTCCACACTATGTTCTACCACAGTGTGAGCTTCTGCTATAATAATATACTGTTGTAGGATTCAGTCAGTTCAAGAATGGTCATATATTTTAGGGCTGATTCTGTGCTACTGTCTGCTGTAGCTTGCGGTGGCTATCCTTTGGTTACCAGCGAAAGGTGTGCACTACTGTCTCTAAGTTGCCAAGACATAATATTTAGTACATATTAGTGTTTTTCTCTGTTTTTTTATATCTAAGAATTCTCTTTTCCTCTGCTGAGCAACACATTGACATGAGATACTTGGGCTCATTTTTAGTCTTCCACAAAAGGACAGAATTGATCACCATAAATATTGCACATTTGTACATGCTCTAGGAAAAGATGTGACTCAGTGCACTCAGATGACTGCAGCAAACGGGACAGTGCCGCCCAGATGGTCTATCAGACGAGTAACAAAATGACGGCAGTGATGACAGCAATGAAGATCAAGTTCATTTTTACCTTGTGCTTCATTGATGCCCATATAGCCAACTCCTGTAAGTGACTTTAGTTTGTCATCACTACGGCCCATGTTACAGTAAATTGAGCAGTGGCTCCTCTTGACTTGCTTTTCAGTATTGGTCGATGTTACTCTGCCACTTTCTCGGCTGCATTATGTTCTGGCTGCTAGCCATTTCACTGCTCGCTAATGTGAACGGGACACTGAGAATTTGATGGGAGCAGGTTTTCTGTGACCTCTCAGCGCCTCTTGAGTTGTTAAGGAGAGGGGAGGTGTGGCGAGGTTGCTCAGCCAGGGAGAGCCCTGTTTCTGTATGGGCTCACAGTGAGAGGTTTAACACTGGTAGGATTTTCCTTAACCTAGGAACAAACTTAAAAATGACAGCAGAAGAAATCAAACTGCGAATCAAATGCAGGATCAAATATAGTAAATTATTACAAGCAGTGTGGGATGTAAGTTTCATTGCCTATGATAATTATAATAAATTCAAGAATAAAAAGACCTAAGAGCAACACATTAATGTCACATGTACTGTAAACTGATTCTACAGTACTTTTATTAACCACCTGTTGTCTCAACTTTGTTCCATGTAATTCCTAATTAGGCAACTTTCTTTTCAATCAGGAACCACCCCAGCTGATTTTGCTGATTAGAATGCAATAAGCTAAAAAGAATGAGTGTCTAATTAGTGGAATCAGCTGGTGCAGTGATTGGCTGGAACGAACCCTGCAATCTCTTAGGCCTTCCTCCCACATTATTGGACATTACTGGAACTCAAATCCAGGCACTTCTTCCTCATCCAGATTGCAAGTGAATGCCCACCTAAACACAAGAATATGACATTTTTAATTTGGGCCGCTTTTGCTCAAGAGTAGAGGTGCTGCTTACTGTATGTAGACTGTAATGGTTTACATTTGACAGTGTTTTGAAAACAGTCTCAGAGTTCATGTTTTTGTTGCCCACAGACGACAGCGTCCATGATGGCAATGAAGAACTAGACCAAGATAAAGAGGAAGAAGAGCAGAAAAGAAAGAGGAGAAGAAGGAAAAGGAAACCAGCCCTTCATCAAGACTCTGGGAAAGATGCGGCAGTTCCAGTGAGTGAGTCCGGCATGTGTCAGAGTCAGACACCTGTGGATGAGGGAGGAGAGCGCATTAGCAGGAACAAGAAGAGGAAGCTGAAGAAGAAACGGCACAAAGAGAAGCTGCTCTCCAGTGGCCTGATGCCCCGGGCTGCTGCCCTGGAGTTCACATACAAAAAAGATGGGGAGCAAGAGGAGGTGGAGGAGGAGAAGGAGGAGGAGGAGGATAACGAGCAGAGAGCTGCTGAGGTGTCAGACTTCCTCAGGACAACGATGGAAATCTATAAGTCAGACTGTAAGCAGAGAGCAGAGTTTTGCTTACCTTTCCGGATCAACTGGTTTCTTATGTTCTCTGTGCTAAAGCTTGTAGCTAATTCATTATTTAAAAATCTTTACAAGGAATAGTTTGATTTTACTTAATTTTGGGTGCTATATTACACAAAGCTGGTGGCACGTAATTAAATTCCACCAAATACTGAAAGCATGTCAGTGAAAACTAAATTCACTGGACATCTGTGCTTTTTTTTGAGACATGATGTGACAGAATAAACAAATAATCCGTAATAGACCTTAATCACAGCAGCCATTTTGACGTGAAATAGTAGGGAAAACACAGGTCTTATCAGTGACACTAATTGAGGTTCAGTTCCATTTAGTGAAGCAGAGCCTTCCAGTGAGCCAACATGCACAATAGCGCCCTGACTCTGTTTGACCTGAATGTTATGGAAACCCTTATTAGTTACATTGGTGATGCCTGTAATTACCCTAGTATTTCACATCAAAATGACTGCTGTGAAAAGGGTCTGTTGGATCAACGTTTAGGGCTAATGGTAAATTGCAGCAGCATTAGAATGTACTAAATGGAAAAACTGCTTTTTAGTTCTGTGTCTGTAACTGAGTGCTGAATGAAACCAAGCCAAGATAGCCCACTTTTACAAAAGTTATACGTTTTTATAAAAGTTAGAAATCATGTTTAAAACAGGGATAATTTGCAACGAAACACGAAATCCAGTTCATGGAAAGAAATTGCAGTCTTCAGTCACTGAGTTTTTAATCAAGGCTTTGAACTCGCCCAGAGAAACAGGTTTATTAAGCCGCAGGGTGTGCTGAAGATTAGGCCATGACCAGTGTTCAAAATAAGAGAAAAGGTAGAGGAGCCTCATAAATGAGTGAGACTAATAATAAACGAGTGAGACTGCACAGCTATCAGATGCACCCAGTCTGGCATTGTAAAGGAAAAAAAAGAAACTAGTGCTGTTTCTCTATTGTGATGACAGAGTCTAGACAGTTACGTGTAGCGGAGGCAGTAGTAATAAAGGTAAAAAATACTTTTGTCACCTCGGTTTGCATTAGACTCTAATGTTAAAATACTAAATTATGATATTGATTAACCGACTGCCTCTCACTTCCTTTGTGCTCCCTCAGCCTCGTTGCGTGTGGACAAGCTTCCTCTCCTGTCTGGGATACTGGATGACCTTCTAAGCAGCATAGCCAGCGGAGACAAGCCTACCTCTGTCCTGAAGCAGCTCTACAGCCTCAAGGCATTTGTCCAGCAAAAAGAGTCAGACAGACTAGAAAAAGCACTAGAGGAGCTCTATAACACTTCTTCTCTGTCTGCAGGTCAGTACTGCAGCGCATTACCTGCTGCTCCACGCCTGTGACATGTATTCATGCCCGACCCTGTCCATACCGGCCTCCTCTTGCTGGGATCTGTCCCAGGCACGTTGTTGACCTGTCCCAGCAGGTTAATACATGCCTTTATCTGTCGCTGCTTGCCTTTTTATTCTATGCACCCTTACATTGATCTCCATTGTTCACCTGAGTATACTTGCCCTTACTTGCCTTCATGAGCCTTTACCTGTTGGTGCCTGCCCTTAATTTGCAATACCGGAACTAGTCTTGTCCACATTACCCCTCCACTATGAGTTAACTAACATGTTTCTACTTGTTCATCTTGCCTTTACTCAACAACAGCCAGAGTCGCTCATGAGTCCCCCAGACGTGTTTTTCACCTGTGCATGTTTGTGTTTGTGCATTTGCATGGTTGGCTAGCTGGCTGCATAATAGGATCAGCAGGGACTTTGCTGCTGTCACACGCACAAGTGTTTGTGTCTGGGAAAGAGAGGGAGAGCTAGAGAGACCAGCCAGGAGATTCAGGCCAATGCCATGTCAGTGACCACAAAGTGACGCTTGTCTCCGCCTGTCCCTGTCGCCAAGACAACACCGCGTCAAAACTAGTTTGCTATCTCGCGAGCAGAGCCCACAATAGAGGGCTCTTTAGTTGTGCCTATCCTCGCCATCGACCTGCCTGAAAGCTTTTTTAACCCCCCCCCCCCATTCTCACCCGCCTCATATTGTATGAGTCATGCTTCGATTCAGTGTTTTTAAATGATGCTGTTTTTGAATGCACCTCCGCCAGCAGGTTTCTTTAGAGCAGAATTCCTTGTGAATGAATATTTCTAGTTTGCAAAGATTTACCTCAGTTAACTTATCTTTGCTATGTTGGCTGGTATATTCTTGCTGTATTTGACTTCACCTTTATAACATCACATTAACATTACAATATGGCAATTTTAAAGATCCCCTCCAGACATGTCTTGTTCCATGAAAAAAAATTCCATAAATAATAGGCATCTACTCCTTCTACCTCCATTAAAAATTCAAAAATCTATGAATATGCAAATTCTGTTCGTTTCTAAAGTTTTCCTGCTGGACACAAGATGTTTCCTACTTTACTGTCTGTTCGTTCGCTGGTGGTTTTGAGTTTCTACATCACACTAAGTTGCATACTGTATCAAGAATGACTTCCAAACTGTCTGTGGTCACAAATCATGCTCGTAAAATCTGATTTTCAGTGAGCACAGAGAAACTTTCAGCTTGCAGCAAATAAATGTGAAAACATCCTTCTAGTGTCAAACATAGAAACACTGCACATACATCAATCTGCACAGTAAAGCTCAAACATCCAACTGTAGGAACAAGAACAAAAACACCTTTTTGACCACCTTGTGAAAGAAGCATTCTGTATTTTAATGTAACCCACATCCCCTGCCATACAGGAGCTAGTCCATGTGCTTGTGGAGAGGTGTGCTTTTAAAGTTGTTCAAGTGAGTTCACTAAAGCTCTCCTCACTCTTCACTCTGCCCTTGCAGTGGCAATCAATTGAGTGCAGGAGCAGGTCTAAAGCAGATTTCCTTTGAACATATTTTACTGCACCCTGGAGTTCCTCTCATGCATGACATCGGCTTGACTGCTCCCCTTTATACTGTCCATTTTATGTTTTACATAGCTTCACTTAAATTAATTCTTTTCAAGAATAAGAATTTCACGAATAAGTAAAAGAAATATTCTGTCCTGGGTTAGAGACAGATGTGTTAAGTTGAATGCCTACACACAACACTGGCTGGAGACGTTTTGATTAGTTATACTGAAAATACAACAGCATAACACTGACTGTTCCTCTGGTATTGTGTTGTCAGCAGCAGTCTCAGCTGTACCTGAAATGTTGCTCTCTGTCTCTTTTGTGTTTTAGAGGAAACCACTGCAGTCGTTTCACTGTTCCAATACTGGATCACAGACATTCTTCCCATGCAGGGAGACAAGAAGACAGGGCTTTCTACAATGCACCCATGAGACTGCCAGTCACAGCGAAACAGACTCCACTGAAGGATTATTTCCATCACTTTAGACAAGAAAGTTCTGGAATATACCGAGTTGCACACTGTTGGACTTAACATGATGTTATTTAGAATATTTTTATAATTAAATATGTTTTTTTGATCTATGCCTTTGTCTAATCTACTTTCATGCCTTATATTGTACGAGAAGAAAACAAAGCCAGTTAATCCTCAACAAGGCAAATCCTTCCGCCCACCACAAGTAAGCTCGGCGTTGTCATTATCGACCGAGCTGTTACTTACTTCCTTGTTTGTTAGAGTTTTATGTAGTTCAAATGAATCGAATGTTTAATTGGTATTAACATAGCACCCATCCTCCTCATCTGACCCCTAATTGCCAGAGAAGCAAATGTCAGCTCTGCCGGAGCTCCAGTGTTGTTTGCAGATGTTATGACATTTAAACCCAGCCGGTTAACCTAATAGCTTCTCAATTATCTACACTACACTCCCCACAAATCAATTTCTGACCGAGTTGCTATTCCACATGCCTTTTTAAATTGTCAGTTTCACCTAACTGTACTGGATTAATTAATAGTCTTTGGGGAGGTAATACTGATGGTACTAATGGTGTTTCAGCAGATAGTCATTATGGGGCTGAATGATAAAGAACAATAACTAGACTCATTACATGAACCCTAAACCCACTTGCTGCCCTTACCTAACTGCATACTCAATATAGCAATGGAGTATGTTGTTGATGGACTTTGGGAACCAGTACCACCTAGGGAGTTGGTAGCTTAACCTTCTACATCACTGTGCCTGTGTACAGCTCAGATAATCTATTCTAATACATTTACCTGTAGCTCTATGCCAGGGGATAAGTTCAGTAAAAGGGCAGAGAATTATCTCGGCTGGACGGTGCTATTGTGATGACCTGAGTAAGAGCTGTCTTCTACGTACCGGCTCAGGAGGAACTGTTATCTTTCCAGAGCTGGGATGCACCAGTAGACACCAGCAGGTTATAATGTACACTATAACACACAGCTCACAGAGTGTGTGTGTGTGTGGTATTATAGTGGTAAAAAATTTGCATGAGGGCAGCCATCTGTGGCCCTGTCTTCATGGATGGACACACCTGGTGCTGTGCCTGATGAAAGCTCATGGGCTCATTCTGCAGACATTAGCCAGAGGAGACAATAAGGGCAAAGAGCACATTGCCTGATATTCTTATGTAACATAATATAAAGGTGATCATCGGTAGTTTTAGTGCTCTTTTTTTAGTCATGCTAGCAGCTTGGCGGTTGGGATGGCAATGTCAGTCTGTTGCTCAATCAACCACTTCAGTCCACTTTATCTCAACCACTCTTGAATGGATTGCTATGACATTTGGTATAGATATCCAAGGTGCCCAGAGAATGAATCCTAATGGCTTTGGTGAACCACTGACATTCTCTCAAGTGCTACCAGCAGCTAAAGTATTTATGTATCCAGTGAAGTGGCTCAACTTATAGTGGACGGATTGACACCACATTTTGTATAGACATTCATGGCTCCCAGATAACGCATCCTAACTACTGACATTTCCTCTACCACCATGAGGTCCAGAGGTTTGTTGTTTTTAGGGATATGTCTCAATAAGTCTTGGATGGATTAGTAAAGACATTAATGCCCCCCTCAGGATGAATTATAATAACCTTGATGATCCCTTGAACCTACAGAGAAGTATCACCTGAATCTTCAGCTCCCCTTGGATTTACAGAGCTTTATAATGAGTTTCAGCTCATGGTTTAGCCGTAAAGCCTGCGACTGCTGTTTTGGTTCACTCTCACAGCTCTCAGTGTTGTTTTCAGTGGACAAAGCTCTAAAAACCCACTGTACACTACTTGCACAGCATCAAATGGCAAATGCTGGGGGCCGTAGGGCAAACAGACCAAGTTGGCAACTAGCTGGTGAACATAGTGGAGCATTTAGCAGCTAAAGAACCAGGTATTAGTATCAGGAGTTAATATAGAGACCAAAAACAAAGCTAAAGAGAGTGAAAATTGATGTTCGCTATATCAATTTAAAATTTGATATGTCAGTGTTGTGCTCACAACTTGTTTCTGCTGCCACCAAGTGGACAAAAAATCAATTATTGCAGGTTAAACTCCACAATGAGGTTAGTACTTTGTTTAATAAATAGAATCCTGCAAAACTAATGACATTCCCATCCACTTCAGAATTACTTTGTGTTTACTGCTATCAGCATATTGGTTTTGTCATAAAGTTTAGCTTAGTCTTGTTAACATTTGCACTGATGTCATTAATAGGTTATAGTTTTCACCTACAGCAATGTTATATGGTTTCTTTTAGTGTTTCAGTGGCATCATGACTTTGCAGCATCATTGCCAGGGTTTGAGATTATTCATGGATGCATGAGTTTGGAGGCAGAATTGGGTCCTATTACCAGAGATGAGAAGAAGGTCATTGTTGGCTGCTCGCTGGAGAGAATTCCTCTCCAGTGAGAGAGACGTTATCAGCACAGCTACCTCATTATAAGACCTCACTCTGAGTCGAGGACCCCGAGGCCAGGCAGGATATTAAAGCTTAAAGAAACTTGCTGACATGGCAGGAGAAGTCATTCTCAACATCAACAGGAAAACATCCAAATCAACCCACTTGGCAGATTCAAATGGATTCTAGTGGTTCTGACTTCAAATGACTTAGGCCTCCTGTATAAATCTATTAAAGGAACTGCTGAAGTAAGAAATCAGTTACAGCTGATGCTAATGTAGTACTGTACCTTACCAGAATTAGCTTACTTCTCATTCAGCATTTTGCACAAATTGCACGTTATTTTGATGGCAAAATCCTGGAAATGTTCAGAACAGAATTTAAAACTTTGACAATGATTGTATGCACACTGTTATCTGCCCACACAGTGTGTACATTAACACCCCTCTGATTCTCCACACACATACACCATATAAGTACATAGATGAATACACTGTATTATGACTGGGTGAATAATTACATTGTTAGTAAGAATATTTTATATTCTTTTATGTATTGATGTTTGAACTGCATTCCACTGTTATGCAATACATCAGACAAAACACTTCACACATGTAAACCAAAAATAAAACCCCAGTAATATCTTAATTGTTTTTTAATGACTGCACAGTGAGCTTGAAGTCATTCATTTCCACAACAGAATTTAAAACAATAGTACATGTCATTGCAATATGATTCCCCTAAAATTTGATGTACGTTGATATTTAAGTATGACCCAGCCCTACACTCCTTTCAACCTTCCTTCTGTTCAGACAGACTTCAGTGTGCCAGCTCCTGTAATCCCCTTAGGCACACCACCTGCAGACTGTGTTATGTAAAGCGAGGAAGGAGACATTATAAGAGCTGACCAGACTGTCCTGCATCACAGAGCTGAGCACAGGTTGAAGTGTCCAAACACACAACAGGACAGACCCGCCATCAGTGGGTTTCCTGTCCTGGGAGTCCGGGAAGAGCAGCTTGAGAGAGAGAGAGAGAGAGAGAGACAAGTGTTATCTGGACTTTAACTCAGTCCTGATCCAAAATGTTTTTCAGAGTCCCAAGACTTACTCCGGGCTACATCAGGCTGCTGCAGGTGAGTTGGGCAGTTTGGGAGGTTTTGAGAGTGTTCGATGGTTTTTGTCAATTTGAACTTCCATCAAATGAAGTGACACTGGTGAGATTTAGAGTCAAGTAGATGCCGTGACCACCCACAGAGTGCTGTGATTATTACTATCAGAAGCATAGTGACACTAAAGCTGTCTATGCTGGGTTGCAGGAAGGTAGAGTGCTGAGTCATTGGAAGTGCTATGATCTAAGAAGCAGAAGTGGATTGTACTGTATTGCAATTTTTTTTTTTTTTTTTTTTTTGCATCAAGCAACTTGTTTTGATTAAAACAAAAAGGTAGAAATCCCTGTCAATGCCTTGTATTTAAAGTCTAGATTACACGATGCTCGTCATGCTCTGTCTCCCCTGGGCCTTATGGAGTAGAATAAAGTGGTAGATGAAATAACGTTGACGGTTTTGAGCGCAGCCATTGACGTAATGAAGTGTTTGCAAGGTACTGGTTTTATGGATACTTACAGAAAGCTATAGCCTTATACCGCCATGATACTGCCATTTTTGTTTTTTGTTGTGTCTTAACAGATGATGGAATACTGTACTATCATAATATATTACACACCATCCACAAATACAAGTTTGTTCCAGTTTTCTGTGCCTTTTGTCTTAGCTCACAAAACACAATCACCTTTTTGTTGGCGTTTACCATAAACAATGGCAAAATCCAAGCCTGTGACAGCCCATTGCGTTGTAAATGGAAATGGGAACTGGGTGAGTGAGCTACAGGAATGGCTTCTTAACTGTCTGTGACACAGCTCCATTAGAAACTATGAAGTTTGTCTTATTTGCTCCTCTATGCTGTTTATAATTGTCAAGGGTCCACTGAGGAAATTGCCCATGTCACAAAATAGACGAGCTTTTTGTCTGTCAAAAGAGACAGACCGCAATTTGGTAAATGAGCGAAGATGAGTTTTTAATCTCTCTGGCATTGGTGGGAGAGGGCTAGATAGGGTGGGGGCTGAGGTGAGCATGTTTTAGCTCATTCATGTGATGCAGTGTAATGTTTCGGAAAAGGGCTGCTGCGAGGCATGTTGTCCTCCTGTGCTCTATAGGCCTGAAAATTGATCCCCATCCATGCATATAAATGGGGATCAATGTTGAATGTTAATAAATAAGGACACTTCAGTCATTCTTTGCCAGGAAGTTGTGTTATCTCTGTACTGCTTTGATAGCAGCTCTGATGTAGTTAATTTATCTTAAATACTCAAATGCAACATTTCTCTATTCATTTTTCTCCCCTTTCAGACCCAGGCCTACCATAACGTGTCTGTGACGCCTCCAGCTGAGAAGAACATACCCGGCATGGCTATGCTGCTGGGGGCCGTGGGGATCGGGATGTGTGGCTACAGCTCCAGGCAGTTGGCCCTCCACCACCGGCCCTCTGCACGTGTGCTGCAGTTGGTTGGCACACACACTGATGCCAGCATGGTGGGCACAGCGACCCATAGGACCCCCTTCCTGGATGTTACTCGCCGGGCTGGTGCCTGCCAGGAGATCCCGGCTCCTTCCTTTGTGGGCCAGAAAGTTCCTTTGAAATAACCTGCAATGCTAGGTTGGATATATATTGGCCAGCATCACAGGTTGAGTTCCAGTAACTACACTTATGCACATCTAAGATTGTAGCTATGCTGGCCCACTGCACCAGTGTGGCCCATGTGCTCTCTGATGATGTGCTAGTGTGGATATTTGAATGACCTCAACCTTTATGTTGGCAGGAAGTTGGATGTCTTATAGTAATAATGAATTCTGTAACTAGCGCAACGCATAAAAATAGTTAAACTGCTGTTGGATTGTGTCAATTAGTCACTGATATTAGAGTCTTCATATACTGAGAGGGCACTAAGCAATATGCATGATTGGATGAGTACATAATGATGCTGGAACTTCCCAAAGACTGTTACTGAATGTAGCTTAAAGGAGCTAACATGTTTAATTTGGAGATATTGTGTGTCTTTTTGAGGCATGGCGTAAAAAAGGGACTGACGCTTGGCAGTGCCCCTTCGTACACAGATGGTTGGCAGCCCTCTCCCTGTGCCCCAACCCCCCTTCACTTTCCCTCCCCAGGCAGACAGCCATGTGTAAGTGCTTTAGCAAGCCCATCCCTGCCCATGACTTCAATTGATTTCCTCTGAGGAGGAGCAGGTGCCATCCATCAACAAGCCTTGGCATTTTCTGGCACAGTCTTGCATCGGCTGTCAATCAAGTGACAGTGGCAGAAGACACAGGTTGGCTGAATCAGTGACTGGTGCTTCCTGTGTTCAGAAAAGTTAAATTCTCCAAGGGCTTGGTGAGGATGGAGAAAGAATAGCAGAGTGGCAGGGCGTTTTTGCGAATTGAAAACCCTTTAACAAAAGGAAGTTAAGTACTTTCCAGACTGAAACCCGAGTCATGTAAACAACACTTGTACAAATACACCTGGCTGGATTATGAATCCTAATTTACCTGGCTGAGACACTACGGGTGGCAGGCAGACGAGGTAGAGTGGTGATTCCTCCTGGATAAGCCTGTGTCCTCTGTAGGGATTACCCCAGGTGGAAGATCATTCCTGGCACACACACTCACTCACCTAATCTGGTATTAGAGACAAGGACCCGTGAGAGGTTGACAGTATCTGTGCATCCCAAATTTGTACCATTCCCCCTGCAGTGTCCACCGATTGTCCTACTGTGATACATAGACTTATAGTTTATGGAATCGGTGTTTCCATTTGTGTTTACACCAAAAAATGTAGCAGTAAAAGTGGACTAGAGATTTGGCGAGACACTGAGTGTGGTTGAGAATGCGTGCTGTGCCTTATGGATAGCACAGGGTCATACTGTCTTTATCTTTACTGTCTCTTATTTTCACTATGAACATAAAAAAATCTACTAAATGTAGAATTTTACATTTCAGAGAATGTTTATTTTCCTACAAGCAGGACACAGGCAGAGGAGAAAGTTCCCATGTAGTCTGCAAAGTTGTGAAAAAGGAGGGTGGTGAGAAAGTTGAGTGTTTCATCACTTAGAGGTCAGTCAGACCTTATAATCCAGTTTTTCATTGCTGAAGAGCCACCCTTGTCTGCCAAATTGGATCAGCAGCTTGTTGTTGCAGGTTGGGGTTTTTTAGAGCCACAATAGGGGCCCTCCAGAACGCTAGCGCAGTAGGTCACCAACAAAATGGTCATAATCCACTCAGCAGAGAGGGCTAATGGCTCCAACTGGCATTGACACTGTCTGAACAATTGGTCACCTTACTCTGCACAGAGACCGACACCCATAAACAATTTCATAATGGGGATGTGATGGTATCAAAATAACAGGATACTCTATACACCGGTGGGGAAAACATAGGGTAAATTTGGGTCATGAAATTTTAGGAACACCTGATTCTGATACATGTATGAATTACCATGATCTTCATCTGTTCTAAAATCTAAGTGTGAAAGTGTCTGTCTCTGGCACCAAACTGCATTTTATAGTCACATTCAGTCACCACACTTCCATAAGTGTGAAATCAACCTGGGTGAGGACTGGAGCTTGTGTAATGCACCTGGCTGGTTTTGATGGATTCTCTCTATACTGCAGTGGTGCGCAGTGAGCACAGAGCACTGTGGAAACCTATTGATCTCAATCAGAGAGTTTGGGGTTGGGGGAGAGGGGGAGGGCTTGTCTCCTCACTGCAGCAAACTTCCTGTTTCACTCAGCATTGTACAGTTTATGAGGGAGAACTGCCAAGACGGTGCGCTGACAAAAAGGAATATCTGAAAAACATGTTTGCTGCTGGAATAAAATACAGGGAATGTTTGAAAGCACAGTATTCATCTGTTAGCTTGTTGTGGGTGTCACACATCACTGCTCATTCATTTCAATCTGTAAAAGGTCCACAAACTCCGGTTCAGCTGTGCCCATTAAAGGAGAGATGTGTTCTTTTAGCCGTATAATTAATATTTAATGAAAAGATGTTGGAAGAGATTTATGAAATAAAAGCATATTTGGCAAACATGCTTCTCTACTGTTGCACTTAGTCACACCTGTGGGTCAGATGGTTTTTGTACAGTGTTGTGCAATGAAGTTGAGCTTTTTGTACTAAGAAATAAATATATTTTTAGTCAAAGTGCAATCCATGCTGTTTTGGTGTAACTAGGCTTATTTTGAAAAATTTGTAGCAGCTGAACCATTCAGTCAAGCAGATTTAGACTTTAAACCTCCAGTACAGGTTGCAGGTTTCACATAATGGGTCATTATTGTTATTAAGGTAAATCATTTCTCAATTACACATGGAGACAGTAATCACAAAGACAATCACAATCCAAACTATCAAATCATGAGCTACCTTACATTATCTAAACATTTATATAATCACTGTTAAGATGGATACTGTGAGTTAATAAAATATCTCGACATCCACATTCACTTTAGTAAAGTACAAGTAAAAATAAAAATATTGTCTGATATTGACTCAGAATATCCACATTGGATACTCAGGAGCCCTTAAAAGACCACTGACCTTCAAACTTCTACTCACCTGTCCACAACTCTGTGCATGTCTTAAGTGTCAAGACCTAGGATAACAAAAACATAACAACCAGTCATGGTTAAAGGCTACACCTGAGCAGGCAGCAAATAGGCCTGCTTACAGATTGTACAAAATATTGTATCACAATAAAAGAGCCCATTTAAACACAGACTATTTACAGGTGTTAGAGCATACTAAAGATCAGCATAGGCATTATAATAAGAGTCAGAGGTTGGTCAGAATTCACTATATGGTTGGACTGAAACCTTAAATGTGTGGGGCCAAGTTTTGGAACAGTTTACCAGATGACATCTGATCTATTAGAAAACGGGTATTAAAGGAAATGAATGCACATTTAGTGTATGTAGTATTTGTATAATGAGTAATATGTAATGAAATCTGCAAGTCACAACTTTCACGTAATATAGCAGAGGTGCAGCAGACCTCGAAATAAGATCTTTTAACTTTTAGTGTTTTTATCCTGTTTGCTTCCATTTCATGCAAAACTTGAGCTACATGCTATTTATAGCCTTTCATGGGTGTGTGTATGTGTGTGTGTGTGTGTGTGTGTGTGTGTGTGTGTGTGTGTGTGTGTTTCTTATGACAGAAACAAATCAAAATAGTTGCATTAATGCCAAATAGTAATCAAACATACAACCTTAGTTTAAAGCTCTAACATCTAAGCAAAGCATCCAGATGTTGCACAGGAACTGACAGTGTGTTAATACTGATATAATCAGAGGGATGCAGAGAGCAAACAATCAATGCAAAGGTTTGAATACATTTTATCTAGTAAAAGCAGGTATGAGGAAGGTTTAACTACGGGGTTTTCATCCTGCTGCCTAGCACAGTGGGTCAGTGGGTCATCAGCCTGGGAGAGTCAGCTTCATCATTAAGTCAAGAGATAAGAGGAGCCACTACACATCCCAGAGGCAACAGGTTCTTCCAAACGCAGCCTAACTGTGCCCTCCAGTGGACACATCCAGCGGTTATCGACACTATCGGTCATCTCTGTCCGGAGTTTTCTCCTTCTTGTCAGTGCGCGTTTAAAACTCAGATTGTGTCCTCATATCAACATGTTTCCAGCAGCAAGTGGTCGCTTGGGTTAAACTTCGGTCTATAGATATGCAGCTGCATATCTCGCTCTCCCATCCCCTCTCCTCTCCTCGGCGAGGACGCAGCAGGGCAGTGCGCTTGGCTGAGCAGCGCTGAAAGAAGCAAAGCGTGGAGGAGAAGAAGAGTTCAACAAACTCAGAACAAAGGGATTGGGGAGATTATTTGTCCGCTTTCAAGAGGTTTGTATCCACTTTTCGTTTCTCTCCAAATCAAAGATGTGGGTTTTAGCGTAGAGGGCGAAAAAAGTTAAGTTACTTTGCCAAACGCGTTTTTTTTGGTTTTTTTTTTAGAACTCTTTGGAGCACGCTGCTTCGGGTTTATGTGTAAAAGTTTGGATTGCGCGTTAAAGTCTGCGGCGTTAGAACAAAATGAAGTTATGTTTGTATCAACATTCCATCTCAGATGTGTTTTGCCTGCTTGGACTAGTTGTGTTGTTTCGATGGGGCGGAATGTGTTGGTTTTGGCGCATTTCTCTCAACTCACAATCTCTTCAGATGTGTTTCAACCTGACATGCTCACAGCTTTGTTTGTCACATGTGGTCACACTGTGATCGAGCCTCTTTAAGTAAACAGGCTGATTTTCTTCAAACATTCAAATGAGTGGCATGAATTCCCTGTAACTTCACCCAGTCTGTGTGTGTGTGTGTGTGTGTGTGTGTGTGCGCGTGCGTGTAGGTCACCTCTACAGTGAGTGAAAGAGCAACAAGCAACTGCAGGGCACCATCAGTGGCCCAAACCCCATTACTGCAGTATGGGCAACTTTTCCAGCAAGGACAGCCATGGACCCACAGGTAGGTCAGCACACGCACACACACACACATACACACATACACACACACTTACTTATCAGCCTGCAGTTTTCTCTTTCTTTTAACCCAACTGTGCTCAGATCACTTTCCTTGAATCTCCTTTGTTCTGTCTCTGCAGTCACAAATGGATTTCAAATGTTTGGCAGTACACACTCAGTACGCCTGGCAATGTCTGTGTGTTGGCCTCATGTTTTCAAATGTTCTGAGAATAAAGCCAGCACACCTAAAGGCTCTGATACATGTAGTAGAAGGGGGACGGGTACAAGGAGAAATAGGAAAAATACAGGAAGGATGCTAGAGACTGCATGAAAGAGGGGTGGATAAGGGGTAATCAGGAAATTGAAGGCAACAAAAGGAGAAGCAAGCGGAAAGGCTGTGTGTGTGTGTGTGTGTGTGTGTGTGTCTGCTGAACGGCAGCAGGAATCTTGGCAGCCCTCCTGCGTATTGCTCAGTGAGTGGTCATTCTCCTCGCGTCCCTATGTGATTCGTTCTGGCCCCGCCGGGCCAGCTGTGATGAATCGGCAGAATTCCCCGGCTCAGCACAAGGGCAGTGGATTAATCATAGGAAGCCTAATGCTATCTGACACACACACACACACACACACACACACACACACACACACACACACACACACTATTTCTCTTTCAGTCAATCTGCCACCAGTGTGTATGGTTGGACGAGCCGCATTAAGGTTTGGAATGAAGAAATAAAAAGCAGGGGTGGCATGAGAAAGTTATTAGACAATCCTGTCATTCTTTCTCAGTGATTTGGCTGTACAGCAGGTGGTACATAACTTTGAATATGTTCGACTGCTCCTCTTACATCATTTAAGAAAAAAAAAAACCATTCTTCTAGCAGAGAGACTTTTGTCCAAACAAGGAGAAGGAGGAAAGAAAGGGAAAGATACATGGTGTCCAGTGGCTCCAAGAGCTTCACAAGTTATTGGTGGCATGTTGTTATGGGCAAGGAACTCTGATCCAAAAAGTAAAAATCACTTGGGTGTGTTTTTATTGTGTCAAGTTTGGAAATGTATCGGCGGCTGACTGCTGCATATTCGTCTGTCTTTGGGGAACATTTGTCCTCTGTGTGTTCCTTAATTTTGAGAATGAGTGTCGCAGCAACCTTGATGAGCAGTCCAAGAGGAATGTCTGTATTAAAGCATTCATCTTCAGGGGCCTGGCCTGGATGTTTGCTGGCTAATGAGGGCCTTGCTGCTCCAGTCACCTCAATGAATGATGTTCTCAGTATCAACATACCAAACTAGTGACCACTAATCTGTTTTTTTCTCTCGTCATTTTGTCCATGCTTACTGCTCTATCAGTTCTTTCAATCTGTTTTGTTGTTTCTCTTTATTCACAACCTTAAGGGCCCCCTTCATTCAAAATAACAATACTGATAAATGTTGTTTGTTGTTACTTCACTTGGATGTTTGAATTATGTATGAACAGAGTTTGACACTAGAGGATGTTTCCACATTGGAGGGGGAAAGTTGAGGACGTAATGCACCAGTGTGATTTTGTGACATTCACAAGTGGTTGGGAGGCCAATCACAATCCAGTATGTAACTTAAGTGTGTTGTGGAAATATAGCAGCTCCAGGTCACATACACTTATAATGGACGTCAGTGAAGTACGAGACATTTTGTTTGGTAGATACATTTTAGACTAGAAAGATATCAGACACAGTTTATTATTCTAAGCAGTGTATTTTTTATATATATCTTTTGTTTTTTTTGTTATTATATCTGAATCCAGTTGTGTGTTTTTTCCAGGGGCCCATGGGGATATTTTCCACACTCCTCCTGCGTCTCCACAGGGTGATGGGCCTCCTTTTGTGCCAGGTGTCCCTCTGCTTCCTCACCCTGCCTCGCCTCAACCTTCCTCGACAGCCCCAGTTTCATCTCCACCTCCAGTCCCACTCCTCACATCCAGCGGGAAGAAAGCACCATCTAGCAGCCCTACCACTTCTCCTCCTGATTGGAGGCCTCATCCACCAGTCAGTTCGAATATCTCCACCATTGGCCCTGGAGTTAGCCAGGTGCACAGCAAGCCAGGAAGTACAGGGATTAAAGGACAAGCCACTTTGGGGAGGAATGGGGGTCCTCCTACCTCCACCCCTCGGACTCTGGTCTTCCAGGGGAAGACTGTGGCTGTCAGCCCTACAAAGAGCCCCTCTCCCCTGTGTAGTGCCACACCTGTGGTGGGCAGCTCTTCAGGACAGACCTGGAGAGAAAGGGACAGTGGTCTGAGTCAGTCTTTACTCCCCGGTCATGAATCTGGGGACAGCCAGGGTGAGGAACTGGAGAAGCTGCTGGAGGAGTGTAGGACAACACTGGGTATCACTGGCAGCCAGGAGGGGGCCACGAACACAGCAGGCAAGAGTCATATGTCTGTCATAGTGCTAGTATTTAATTTTTCAATACATATTTTACCCTGAATCTACTTCCGATAAATAATCAGGCCTGCAGTATTTTTGTTGAGCATTAAAAGTTTTCATTTAACTGTGGGCCTAACATTTTTCAGTTTTGAGAAGGGCAGATCCATTTCCTTGACATTTTTTTTTTATTTGCTATGCATGTGATGTCTTCTGACATTTCTCTATCCTTTCCTCAGAGATACTGAAGGATCTACTGACAGAAGTGAAGAGTTTGAAGAGTACTTTGCAGGTGAGATGTGACAGAAAGGTTGCTTTTAAATATATTCCTGCCTTTCTTCTTTCTTTCTTCTCGAGTTTTTGGCTGCGTGCTCAGGGTTATACTAATGGTAGTGGACTATTTTTGCTTAACTGAACAGCGATGGTCCAGTTTTGGATTTCTCTATGTTGCTGCAGTGTGCATGGTGTAATAGGAGCAACACTCAACCGTTTGAAGTGTGCTGTCTTTTTCTAGATATTCCCAAACCAAAAGAAAAGTGTAAGGCATGATTACGGGGTATATGTGCTTTGATTAGTTATAACTACTCGTAAAAGTGAAACATGTGAACAAACAAGGTTATGTTAAAGTGAAAGGCGAGTCTGATTATATTTTGACATATACAAACTAGCTCTGCATTGAATCAGAATCCACTTTACTGGCCAACTACAGTATCTGTAGACATACAAGGAGTGTTACATAACAGTAACAGTTCCAAGAACAATTTAAAGGAAGATGGATTGAAATAGACGTCCAGCTAAAAGCAACAATGATCAACAAGTCAAGTGTTTCTGTAAATTGATTATAAGAACACTTGAATAGGGTGTATTCATTCCTATTAAAATCTATCTTTTCTTTGTACCTTTTTCCATCTTTAGTCCTATTTTTCACACATGGAAAAACACTTTTTTTCACACACTTGAAAGACTAAACTGGATGAGTATAGCAATGTAAACAGGAAGTCATGCAGTCCAATTATACAGAAGTCAGAGTAGTACTTGTGACCTTTCATCCAGGAGATAACACCAAAACACACCCTGTCAACCCCCCCTCCCCCCCTCCATCACAATAGGCCTTGGAATGGGTCCCACTGGGAGCTGCAGCTTTGCTAATTGAGGTTTTCCTGTCCTCTGCTTCCCCTGAGAGGCCTGAAAAAGGGAAATTGTTGAGATCATCTTCTCTCCTACTTTCTTGTAGCTCATACATGTTGAATTTATTGGATGTTGTTGCATGTAGGTGTGGCTTCTTCTGAAGGATAACGTAAGTCTTGAACATTGGCAGGACACCGTTTGCCTTCATTGTTAAAGATTTTCTTCTGAAAGTAAGAACCAAACCTTCTATTGCACACATTCATTTCTCTTTATTGGACCCCAGTGAAAGATGCTTATTCATTAGGGACCAACCACCTACTTTGGATCGACCCATTATTAGGTTCCCATCCCAAAGTTGAATAAACCATACACAATAAAAATAAAAATTCTGCAGCATTCTTTAGTCCTATTGCTCAGGCGTTCCATGCTCTTATGAGGATGGTGATATGCTGCGGTAATTTCCTGTCAGTCGTTCGTTCCAATTCCTGACCCTCCCTTATGAGGATTGTATCCAGAGGCTCCCAGCTTCCTCTAGATCTGCCACAGATTACAACAGCTGGAGTATGACCTATAGTATGCCTCCCTCAACCCCATCTCTTTTCTCCTCTTTTCTTCCCTCTGTCACTGTCCCCACTTCTATTGTTCTTTTATTTCGCCATATATATATATTAGAATCAGAATTATTTGAATTCCATTATATTGCAAGCAAGTGTACTCGAGCTCTTCTACCCCACACTCACCTGTTTCTCTATTTGACATTCAATCCCTGCTCCCTCCTGCCTTTCTTTCCTCTCTTCTCCACTTTCCCAAACCCCTATAAGGGACCTGGAAATACAAGCCTTGCACAGGCCAGCTGAACCTCAGAGAGTCTGTGGTATAGCACTGAGAGGTAGCCGTGTATTAGAAGTCGGGGCAATCCAACACTGTGTTTACATGGGCCCTCGATAGTGCAATATAAGCTAGCAAAGCTCGACTTTATGAACCCTCTCGGTCTGCTCTGCTGTCCTGGGAGCCTTTTTGTGGAGAGCTGGAGAAGGGGAGTGCAGTGCGGAGGAGGGGGTTCACATTCGGCTGTTCGGGAGACAAAACTTGTTTTGTTTTGTGCGGTGTGGTGAGGGGGGCGGGGGGCGGGGGGCAGTGACTGACTAGCCATGTGTTTTTCTGTGTGTGCTGCACGTGAGACGGAAGACTCGCAAACACGTACAGATGCATTGAAAGTCTTGGCTAGTGCAATAGGCTTTTTAGCTTTGTAGGGAAGCCTCCCTCCCCCTTCCCTTGCTGTGCCTCTCTCCCTTTTCTTCATTCCCTCATTCTTTCTCCATCAGAGAGCTGACCGCTCCTCCCTGAGTACAAGAACTCAAAACAATTACCCACCAACTTTTGCTGCATTGCTTCTCTCTATCTCATCCCTCCCTTCCTCTCTCTGTCTCCCACCCCGTCCTCTGTCTTGCTTTGTCACCTCCTTGTCTGTTCTTTCACTTCCATTTATCTTTTTATCTGACCCCAGGTTGCTTAAGCCTTTTTCCTTCAGCTCTGACCTCTTGTTTTTTGACCTTTTTCCCCATGTAATTTAAGTAGCCATTATTCTTCCAGTCAGCTAAGCCTCTCCTCTGCGCCTCTTCATCTGTCTTGATCCCTGTGTTCCCAAATCCTCCTGTCTTTCTCTGTCTGTCCACAATCATAATGTATTTCTTAAAGTGAATACTAAAAAAAGACACATGATTACCCAATGTGCAGCGAACTACTAAGGATGTTATCCGATGTACCATCTGTCTGTGCTTATGTGCACCACCAGTGTTCAATTGTCTTAACCAACAAAAATGAAAACACTGCATTCATGGTTGGGCAGTGAGTGTGTGTGTGTGTGTGTGTGTGTGTGTGTGTGTGTGTGTGTGTGTGTGTGTGTGTGTGTGTGTGTGTGTGTGTGTGTGTGTGTGGGTGTGGGGGTGGCTGGTCAGATTTGTGTTCCCTCCCCTCCTGGAGATTCAGTCGATCTCTAAGCCCTGCTTTGGAATCAGTTCCAGGTGAACGGGGCCGGAGATTTTCAGGAATGATCACCAGGTTCCCTCTGCTCTTTTCTCCTCGCTAGGCTGCTCCAGCTACCCAGACTCAAAAAGGCCCAGTATCTAGAGGCCACGGAGGCTGTTCACATGTAGAATGAGGATTTAGTGTGTTTGGGCTGGTTGGAGGAGGGGGCTTGTGTGCGTGCTGTGTCAACTTTGCAGCACAGAGTAAATGGCACCCATTTCTTTGATGTCTGCGGACATTTAGATATGCAACTTGTAGGCTCTACCAAGTTTTTTTTTTTATGTGCCAGTCACGGGGAATTTGGCCATTTTCTACGTGCGTGTGACTGTTGAAGAGGGAATTATATGTACCTAAATAGGTGTAACTGTGTATTCAACCACTTTTTGGAATATACACCACAGGCTGTGGAAAACTGGAGAGAGGAACCATTACAGAGTGGGGATGTTTCCCAAAGTATGTATTAGAAAGACTGGGTGTGGAAGTGAACTCGGGACAGATGGTTGGAACACATACACAATAACACACTCTCACAAACTGACACAATCTCCAAGAGTGCTGGACCCTTTCCAGGAATTGTCAGGAACTCAGATGTGCATCAAGAGTATAGACAAACTTGTGTGTCTGTGTATGTGTGTTTGAATGCTGGATAGCACATCTGGTCTTGCAGTGGGGCACTAGGTCAGCTCTTGAGGGTGTGGGTGTGTGTGTGTGTGTGTGTGTGTGTGTGTGTGTGTGTGTGTGTGTGTGTGTGTGTGTGTGTGTGTGTGTGTGTGTGTGTGTGTGTGTGTGTGTGTGTGTGTGTCTGTCTTAAATGTGACAGTCCACACCCTTATCTCAGTGTGACTGAGGAGCTCCTCTTCCTGTTTCCTTAAACAGACATGCTCCAGTTGGAGTGGCCACGTCCAGATAACAAAGGCTCTCTGAAGACAAGATCCAAGTGGTTGTTTTAGTGTTACTTAAAGGACCAGCTTGTTGGCATCTAGTGGTGACGTTGCAGATTGCAACCAACTGATGACCCCTTGACTAAAGTGTGTCGGAGAAACTGCGGTGGCGTGCCAAAAACGTGAATTGCCTTATCTAGAAGCAGTGTTTGATTTGTCCCTTCTGGGCTGCTGTATAAACATGGTGGTTCAACATGGCGGACTCTGAGGAAGAAGACCTGCTCCCTCTGTAGATTTAAAAAAAAGGTTAATTCTGAATATTGTGAATCTGAATATCATCCATTTCTGTCAATAGATCCCTAAATCTTCCACACTGGTCTTTTATATCATATAGAAAATTTTCTGTCTATCCCCCTATTCATTTGACACATGTTGCCAGGCAGAGTGTGCTTTAACTTACCCTGACTGTGTGTGAGAAATCTTAACAATGTGGTTAAGTGGTGAGGTAAAAGAATAAAGTGTGTGTGTGTGTGTGTGTGTGTGTGTCCGTCCAACGTAATCAGGTCCAGCTGTGGTCTTCAGTCACTGGTCAGTCGAAGGAGCAACTTGGCTCACATATCACCCCCTCCTCCACATCTCCATCCATTCTTCATCTAATTACCAACTTTTCCAGCCCCTGCGCTCCTCAGCTCTCCCTCACATCTCTCTGGCTTCCATTGCTCCACAAGCAGCATTAAATCTGTGCAGGATTTCGACTACTTTTATTGTCCTTCATCTCCCCTTTTCCGTCTTTCTCATTCCCTCTCTCCTTTTTAAGATGATGGTTGCTTAACGCTTTTTTTTTAATGGTCTGGTATCGTTTACCGTCTGGCTTCATAGGTTCGGAGCGCGTCTTTTGATGTCTGGGGCAGTGTTTGTGCATGTCCGAGGCAATAATACTCTTAAAGAATAAAAACGTGGGAAGTTTTTATCCATCACTCATCCTCAAAGATATGAAACTGAATCTGCGTCAGTCCCACACACACATTTGCAATAAATAAATAAAAAAGTCATTGCCACACTGTTGATGACACAGAAGGCAGTTTCACAATGCTTCCAGAATGTGAATTGCTTAAATCTGTTATCTGTTTTTTCTGTCTGTGTCCAAACTTGTTAGGGGTCTTTTTTCTTCTTCTAAAAATCTAGCTCATATTCTCGTTTGGTTGATCTTAGGTGACATGAGTGAAACACACTGAGCAAAACCTTTTGGCACACAATTCAGTTACGGCTCATTAGAGTCGACTCCACTCCTCTCTGCTTGCTGAGGCTTGCTGCTCCGTTCAGTTCAACTTGTAGTCTCCTATTGAAAGCCAAACGGATATTTGATCGTTCACTTGATTATAGTGATTGTCTGCTGAGGGTTCAGCTATGTTTGTTTTTGGCAGTCATGTCCAGTTTGGGTTTAAAAGTGCCAGTTTTAATCCTTTTGTATGCTTTGTATTCAGGTATTGCAGAAAATGATTTGCAATAGCATAATCCTCGTCAAAGTGGAGCAGCACCACTTATCTGTTTATACTGTAATGAAATGTCTTTCAGCACATTTGTAGTAGTCATAACACGAGCAACTCCGGATGATTCGTAATAAATTTGGTGATCTTTTAACTTCAGCCATCATGAGGTTAACATTTAAATTTTTCCAATACTTTTGGTTTATGGCCAAATACCTGCTAAATGAATCAGTGTCACTTTTGTATAAAAAGTCCCCTTGAAAGACAAAGCATTGAGAAAGACAAGTTTCCAGAAGACCACATGAGTTGATGCGTTAAGGCTGATTGAGTGCTATAATCTACCTTATCTTTTAAGAAAGACAACAACACAAATATAAGTATGTGTTCAAATAAAGCCTCATAAATCCGTCGGAATCATAAACACCCCCATTGTTTCCCCTTCAGACGGAGCGTGGGGAATGGCTGCAGTTCCAGGCTGACCTACAGGTGGCGGTGTCAGTGGCAGACCGCCTGAGAGCCGAGGCAGAAGAAGAGCTGACAGCGCTCCGAACAGCGCACAAGGATGTTGAGAGGGAGCTGGCTGCTGCCCAGCAGAGGCAGAAGGAGGCCGATATGCAACTGGTCACCCTAAGAGGGGAGTTAAAGGAGAGTAAGCAGAGACTGGCTACTCTCACCCAGGCTCAAGGCAAAACTGACACCCAGGATCCATGTCAGGAACCAGTGCGGCCCAGTGGAGAACCAACCAACAGCTCAGAAAGCACAGAAGGGACCCAGAGGGGCAGGGAGAAGGGGGTGTACAAGTTGGGACGAGAAGGGGTGGAAAGCAGGGGTCAGAACGAAGTGACAAAGGATGTTGCAAGCGAGGAGGCTAGAACAGACTGTAAAGGTGTGACTAAGCGTTACCTCAGAAATGTGACCAATGAGGATAGGAGTGGAGAGGAGGGGCGATCCAACGAGACACGAAGGACATTAACCACTGAGAGGTCGAGGTGAGATAAACAGTTTGACCTTTCAGGGGAATACACAAAAACAAATAGTATTTCTGCATCACATTATTACAACATCATTTTGTGTAGGTGGCACTTTAATGTGTTCACACAGTCAGATATTTCAAAACAAAGCTCTTTCTTTTGTCTTCTGCATTTTTTGTCTGTGACATCGCAGTCATAAATGGATACCAATCACCAAATTTGGTCAGGACTGTGATTGTGGTTTCTTTTTTTTATGTTGTACTCAACCCACAGGCCTCCACAGGGGCACTTGAGGACAGTTCCAACCGCTTAATTCATAGCTGGAGCCAAGTGGAACAGCTGTTGCAGAAAAAAATTCATCAAAAACAGTTTGTTTGGTTTATTACGTCTGTTCTCTAAACTATGTATTGAAATGTTGCAGAAGCCTGTCCAGATTACCTGCTTCTTCAGACACCCCCACCATGCAGAATGGAACTTCCCAGTCCAATACTCCATCAACAGCTGGACCCACGAACAAGGTCAGATACTTTATCTAGAGGATGATCCCTCATTTTGGTTGTCAGCTGGGAAATGTTCCCACACTTAATTCATGGTTTGCTGTTCATGTAATGATTTTAATTTGTAGAAATCTTTTTTGTTTTTATAGAACTTGGGGCAACTAAGAGGCAGAAGAAGTCTGGATTGGCAAGACAGCAGGTTAAACACTGACACAGGTGTGTGTGTGTCTGTGTGTCTATGTGTCTGTGTGTGTGTCTGTGTGTAAAATGCTTGTGTACAATGTGTCACAGTATACTTCAGATTGTAGCTGTTTCCTTTTTTATCCTAAAATTGAGTTTTTGACCCCAAATCTTGTTTGTATTGTACATGTGCACGAGGACGCACAATGTGATGGCATTAACATACAAGTGTAGCAATTAGACCCGACCGATATGACATTTTTGAGGCCGATACCAATTACCGATGTGGCCACTGATACAGTGTATATTTTAGCTGAAATTAAAATCGACCTTTTCTATGTGAATTGTGCAACAATTTAGCACCAATATGGTTATGCAAAGACAAATACGTTTATTAAAGAATATTTAAGTTAAATGAGTTTTGACATTGTAAATACATATACATAAAACCAATTGTAGTTGACATTGCTGAGAGGTGCGTCTTCTCTCTCACTTTGTGCTGCTTACCATAGTATTGCAAATTGCAGTGCACTCAGCTGGATAACCTTTGCAGTCATGCCAACAAGCATTTTTCTGCGTTGTATAAAGGAAAAAACACCACTTTAATATCAGCACGTATCGGATAACCTATGCTTATATGTCTGATATAGGTCGATATTGGCTGATCAGTATATCAGTCGGCCTCTTGTAGCAGTGTGCCATCAAAGGCTGGAGGCTCGTGCACAAACCCACCGGTAGTTATTACCTCACTCTGAAGTTCCCTTCAGCTATGCAGAGCATTTTTGCGTCTTTTAAATTGCTGCGGTTTTACAGACCGAAGAATAGCTGCTGCAATGTGCTGATGGGGATCCGAATAAACTAAACTGATGATGGTACACTCTTGTAATTTCCAGTTTGAGTTTATATTTCTAATTAGCATACAAGCTCAGATAAACCAACTATACACTACCTGCATAGCACCAAACAGCGCACACATATAGGTACCTACTACCTGGTGAACATAGTGGGGTATTTAGCGACACGACTCAAAGTGCTAATGTGTCTCTGTGTTTTTGGGATGTGAACATGGGCAGTTTGCTAACTTGCTGCGTGCTACTTTATACAGTGAAAGTCAAGCTTGTTCTGTTGCCCCCAACTGACCAAAAATCAATAAATGGCACTTTAAACATGTAGAAGTTCGTGTAGGTTTAAGGGTGGTGTAGCTAAACCTCTCCTTCCATCAATGCCTGATGAAAGTGTTCATGACGGCAGACTGCTGGGTAATGAACTGTGGTTGCTTGTCTTTACAGGAAAACGTGAAGAGTCTCTAAACAAGTACAACTCTTCCCTCACTGAGCTGCCTCCCATCAAGTGAGTCTACACACCCACACACACACATTGAAAAACTATTGTGTCCAAGAGCCCAGCCCAATTGCTACATCCTGTGTAAATCTAATTACCCGTTCCGACCCAAGTACATTTGTCTGGTGACCTCATAAAGCTCGGTATTGAGGCCAGAACAACTCTCTTGCTTGAATCAATGTGTTAATTAGGTTTTCTTTTCAATAACAGAGTCAAGTTTATGGCAAAATTCTTTTTTATTTCTCCACAAAAGCCCAACTGATTATAACAGCAACTCCTGCAGTGTTTAAACCAAAAAAAATTTGAAGCCCTCAGCAAATTTATATCTTGTTGTTGTCAGGTCCCAGGATGGTTTCAACCTGCTTCTGCGTCGCCACGGAGGCTCAAAGAGAAACTCACTGCTTCGGTGGTGTCAGAGCCGAACACAAGGCTACAAGGTGATCCCGGATATTTGCATATCTTTCTTGAAGCTGGACTAAGTGATATTTTATATGATCTTACACTGGTCTTAAAAAAAGCTAAACCAAAATGTAATGGATGTAACAGATAATGTTGTATTGGTGATATTAATTGACAGCCTTAGCGTGGTTCAGTCAGGATGGACTAAGTGAAATAAGGGAGTTATTGAATAATGAATTTAGTTGATATCGTATAATACACACATCATCTTTTGGTGTTTAGACTCCACTGTGTATTTGCAAGGTCTGGCGATTCAATATGTATCACGATACAGGGGTTACTATTCAATATATTGTGATATTGTAAGCAAGGTGATATATTGACATTTTTTACAGTTGTCACAAATTGATACTATATCACAAATCAAGATATCGCAATACAATATTTAAAAAAATATTTTCTTACACCCGTATTCCACTGTCACATAATTATGATAGAGGTAGTCACTCTAGTCATTCAAGAATGTCCCCCCAGTTGAGTCCTCGCTTTGATGGCGAAGAGGTGAAGAAACATTTATCCTAGCTGAAGATCTGGATAGATCCATAATAGATCTGTATTATGTCAAATGGAACGACTGCTGACAGCAGCAACAAAGGGAACAGAATGATTGGCGAGATGATTGGCGAGATGATTGGCGAGATGATTGGCGAGATGAGTGGCTCACGATTCTTGTGGCAAAGATTGATTAAAGTCAATAAGGGGATGGCTTGCAGATTGCAAAAACCTAAAGAAATAGGGAAAGATGGGGACTATATTGATGATTACTTGTCCTAAGCTTCATTTTGTATTGTGAGGATGATATACGCATATGTAAAAGTATGTAGCTCCTCTGATTTATAGCGATTATGCTCTCATGCTAATCTAATATGAAGAACCACTGGAAAAGTTTCTGGACTTTTCTCCCAACTTGAAGAGGTGTATCACTGCTTTTGATGGTCGCACTAGGGAGTCGGAATTCTAGCCTCTCTTGAATTTATTGTGATTCTCCTCTTCCGCCTCCTTCACATAGTTACCCACCAGAGTTTCAGTTGGCTACTGCAGCTAAACCCATTGGTTCTCTTGTGTTACCATAATCTTTTGTCTTTTCTCCCCATGCAGAATATTGACATCACAAACTTCAGCAGCAGCTGGGCCGATGGTCTAGCCTTCTCTGCTGTCTACCATACCTACCTCCCTTCACACATCCCTTACAGCACTCTTACTCCAGAGAGCAAGGTAGAAACTGTGCCTGTTTAATGAAATGGACCAAGTGATTTATGGTGTACAACTTATTGACTTGTACTTTTCTTTGCAGAGGGAGAATCTCAACCTGGCATTCAAAACAGGGGAGACTGTTGGGATTGCACAAACTCTGGTAAGCCTCTTTGTCTTTTCTAAATGAAACAAATTCTAGGTCAGATGCGAGGTTGATTTTGAGCCTATAAACTTATTATGAATCTTCTATCCACAGACGGTAGAGGAGATGCTGAGAGCAGGCGGTCCTGACTGGCAGAGGGTCCTGAGCTACGTGGAGAGTATCTACCGTCACTTTGAGATGTGACTGCTGGAGATACTGACTTACAATCCAGTGGATCCTTAAGGACTCTTCAAAGGAAGCAACACAAGTTGGCTCTGAATACTATACTATACTTTTGTTGCTTGTCTGGAAACTGGAGAAACTGATGTTCTTCTGTTAGCAAAAAAAGACATTCAAAGCTTCAATTTTCAACTTTTTCGACATTAAAATAATTGTTTCTGCTTGTGTTAAGTGTGTTAAGTGCAGGATATCTTAGAAACAACAATAACAATGGCAAAAACTTTGGTTGTCTCCATTTATTTTTTATTGTCACTTAACAGATGCTGGCTCAGGCAAGGAAAAATAAAGTGTGTTAATTGTTAGTGCATTGCATATACTTTCAGTATTTATTGAAAAATACGTACTGTTACTTCATACAGTCCACTATGGAGAATGAAACATGCATTATGATTACATACAAACACATTTTCACAGCCAAGCGTATGTTTTTGTAACACTGGACGAAAATTTTTCCTGTCCATATTTTATCAATACATTATTAAATAATATATACATTGATACCTGAAACATAAAAAAGTACTTTAGAAATTTTATTTTGCTACTGTGGATCGAAGTTCCATCGGCTTGGTTTTCTGGTTTTTCTGTCATTTCAGAAAATGTCTTCTGGCCAGGTGGAAGTGACAAGGTGCAAAGTATTGATTGGTTTACTGCCATCGGCTCCACAGTCGGTATTACATTTTTGTTGTTGTATGCATTATTTTATTTTTAAAGCACTTAATCAGCTGACATTTGGCATACATCAGTAGTTTGAAGAATTCAGATGCAGTGAAAGTATACAGCTTATCAGACTGAGTGAAATGTGTAGAGGTGAGAACCTGACCAACTGGGGAGGGGAAAATTAACAAAACCCCACCTTTTAATACAAAAAGTTAAATATAGTAGCTTTCAGAATAAAGCCTACTGTTGACCACGATAGATATTCAGAATATCTGGATCTTTTTTATAGCATCCCTTTGAGGAACGTGTATGGACAGGTAGAGTTGCTGTAAATGTCTCCACACTGGTACTTCACTGGCCTAAAGTACTGTATTACACAATGTCCATCAAATCTGTAGGCAGTCCTTAAACTGCACATTGTTTTATCTGCCAATATATTTTGCCTTTTAACCTTGTCTGTGATGCTCTGCAAAGATTGTCTTTTTCCTGGAACTTTTAGCACTCTGTAAATACGCACTTTTGCCAGCACTTTGTTGATGTAAGAATACAATAATGTACAGTACAGACATTGCACAACTGCTGTAGTCTTTAAATGGCTGGGCAGACGTTCAGTCGTAAGGCTGCAGACCAGTTAGAAGATTTCTCAAGTTCTGTTTTTGAATGTGGCAATGATCAATATCTGAAAGTGCCTCCATGTTATCGCAATTGTGCCAGTGCTGTTTAGGTGCTCAGGGATGTGCATCACAGGAGTGACTTAGAGCAAAAGCAAATGCAAGCCTACACGTGCTTGTGCATCCGGTTGCAATGCCATCTCACGTCGTCACACCTGCATCCTCAACATATGCACAAATTCCCCCTCATACCACGCAAGTGCTGAGAAACTGAATAACTGGTTTTGTTTTGACAAGTTTAAAGCTGAGTTTGTTGCCAAAGTCATACGTGCCAAATGTTGGAAAAATAATCTTTGGTGGAAATAGACCATTGTAAAAAAAAAAATGTTTATATGTAACTAGTGTGAAAAGAAAATTATACCAAAGAAATAAAATGTTAATATGAAGCAAAGAATACTGTCTGTATTGTGACTGTCAAAGAAAAATCTCAACACTACCATAAAGAGACTGAACACAGAACATCCATTTAAGGACTTATAACCAAGACTCCCACCTCTTCCGGCTTTGTAAAGGTTATCATTGGAGGTGAATGAAGCGCATGTTTTAAGTTATGAGTTAGCTTGGACTCTACTACCCCCTGCTGGTAATGGTGAGTTAATACAGATTTTTATTACTGCTGGATGTCCCTCAATGAAAATTTTAATTACTGCTTAGCGGTTAAAACGTGGCCTTACAATCTCAGCTCATCTGCTCCATGCTGCTATTTTTACTGCAAACTCTGTATGAACTGTATTTTTGTGTCAGACTTGCTTACAGTGCAAAACGCAATGATACAATATATGACATCCCTTTTCCCTCTTGCTCAGTTTAAAACTAAGCAAGAGGAGTAGCAATAGCTGTTCTGGGTAAGGGATTGTTTGAACTAAACTGCATTTTGGTGACTTATCACCATTTTCTCCCAAGACAAAGCCCCACACTGACACCCCGCCATTCTTCCTGTGTTGTCACAAGGTAATTAAAATGTCCAGCCTGTTTATCAGCCTGTATAATATAACATAATATAGATTTGTGTTTCAAGGAAGCAGTATAAAGTATTAAAATGTTCACAAAAACACTGCAGATTCAAATATCAGCTTCTATTTTTAGGTAACATGCCAAGAATTAAACTCCCAGGCGAGTTGAGTTCCATCTGACATTCAAGACTTATTTTCTTCTCAGTATGGATGCAGTAATGCCAGAATGTGTCTGTGTGCTTGCTCTTGGACAGGACTGGGAATTGTCAAACCCTGAATAGACAGACGAGACGCATCCCCCTGGGCAAAGGCGTTAAGAGTGTGTGAATCCTCCCTATTTATGTGTATAGATCCTTGTGTGTGAGAAGTGTGTATGAGCATCCGAGTACGGCCCCCTGGGGCGTTAGTGTGAGGACAGGAGGTGGGGTTTTGTAACACGTCGGTCCAGGTCACTTGTGCTTCACGAAGCAGTCACTGTCAGTTTGGTGTCAACCAAAAGTTGAACGTGTTTTGAATCTGGGAAACAGAAGCATGGATTGGATCTGGACTTTGCTTGTGTGTTTGGGAGTTGTGTTTGCTGCTGTGCCTGGTTCGGCTCAGGATTCATCGAGGTAAGTGATCTGGTTTGATAATACAACCACGATCCAATCATTTTTGAATACCTGAATTCATGTTTTCTATATTAATACAGTTTTTATCTAATGATCCAACTTGTTTCACCAACCAGTAAAAAGCCATTTCTCTTCTTTCTACTAGGACATGGTTTCTGATCTCGGGTCCAGAGGTGTTGCATGCTAGGACATCCACTCCACTGGCTGTCACGGTCCTTGCTGACTTCCCTGGCAGAGTGATGGCTGAAGTGGCACATGGCAACACCAAAGTAGCCCAAAAAGAGGACTTCCAAGGAGGTAACAATTACATTAAGGTTTTGGGTTGATTTGCATACTTACTTTTTGACTTTTAGAGAATTAATCTATCATTCTGTTGCTTAAGGCTTGACGACAGTCCTCACACTCCCTCCTGTGAGTATGAATCATTCTCTTCCTTCAATTTAGTTTTTTTTCTAACAGATGACAAAATAATACTCGGAAATGACTGAACGACCACATGTATATGTTTCTGAAAGTTCTTATACAATCTCTCCAGATTCTTGACTCTATACCCCAGGATTCCCTCTTAAACTTAACAGTCTGGGGCTACAATGGGGACAATCTCATTTTCACTAACACCACCAGCCTCAGATTCAGCCTCAGGATTGTCTCCACCTTCATTCAAACTGACAAATCACGCTACCAACCAGGCGATACCGTCAAAGTCAGAATTGTGTCCGTTCAGTTGGATAACCGTCCATATGAAGGCAGAGTGGATATCTCTCTACAGGTAGGCCTCTGTCCTCTGTGTGAAAGAACAAAGCCAGAGGAGTTGAATAGATTTCTAGCCTGGTATTGTGTGGTGGTGGGAAATTTTACTGACATTCTTTTGTCTCACACAGGATCCCAGTGGGAACCTTGTCGACAGGTGGGAGTCCACAGGGAATTTGGGGATTGTGTTGCGGGAATTCAGTTTATCCCAGACGCCTCCTCTTGGACAGTGGGCGATCACAACCACAGTGAACGTAGGATTGAAATATATAGAGATGGCTTTACCTTTGCTGTTTAAAAGACTGCTATTTGAATTGAATAAGAAAAGCACCTCTCCCATTTTGCCTCCCATTCTCTTCTCTACAGGGTGTGACTGATGAGAGAGCCTTCACTGTGGAGCATTATGGTAATAGATTAGTTTATTGCAGTAATATTTTTTAACCATGTCAGTGGCTCTAAAGCATGTCACTGTTGGTTGGTTAGTTAGCCAGTTCACCACTTTGGTTGATACTGGAATATCTTAACAGTTATTGAAATACCATTTTATACAGAAATTGAAATATGGTCCCCAGAGGAGGAATCCTACTGACTTTGATGGTCCCCTGACTTTTCCTGTAGTGAAATCATGACATTGACGTTGTTTTTCTCTATATCTTAACAACTACTGGACAGATTTAAAAAATGGTATTCAGTGTATATATAAATTTATATTTATATATTAATATTGATATATATGATATTCAAGGTCCCTATAGGATGGATTGCAAGTACCCCCATGTGCCTCAGCTGTACTTTATGTTTAGTGTTAATTAGCCAATGTTACTTTTTAAACTAACAGCATAACTTCTAATTGCTATGAAATGTTCTAAATCAACATGTTAGCATTGTCACTGTTAAGTAAACTTACTGTTCACACTTTTTACTGACTGGTGTTGCAGAGCATCACTTTGAAGTACTGTTGAAGATGCCTGCTCAGGTCCTCGTTGGAGATGATATTTCAGGAACAGTGAGAGCGCTGTGAGTTCGTTTAGCTCATGTAAATCAGTAATATCACATTTACACATTTGTTACGTATAAGTGAGTATACAGTAGTATTTTTTCTCTCAAGGTATCCCAGTGGACAACCTGTGCAAGGAACACTAGATGTTTCAGTCACATTGGCGTCTGTTATGCACACTACAGCTTCTTCGTCCATCCAAACACAAACTAAAGAGGTGAGGTTTTATCGTCCTTGTAGCTCATTTACAAGTAGGCCCTCTGTGCTTATAGCCAGCATTTACAGTTAAAGTATCTGCATACTCAATGACATTGGCTAACCAATGTTTTTTCAGATCTATGGGTCAACACAGTTTTTCTTCAGCAAAGATCTGCTTGAAGCCCTTCACGCTTTATCAGAAATTAGCAGTGGTGTCCAGCTACATGTTGCTGCCTGTGTTACTGACAACTCCACAGGTGAGATATATATTTTGAAACTATATTAATTTAAGCATAGTACAAATTTGGTTGCATCCTCACACCATTCTGCTACATCATTCCTTGTCACCCAAGGACTTAAAGTGAGCAAAACAGTCGAGGTCCACCTTATGAAGAACACATTCCAGCTTGCGTTCCATGATTTTCCACCTACACTAAAGCCATCTTTAAACTTCTCTTCAAAAGTGAGTAAATTATTATTATTCTGTGTATTTGACATGTATCTTAAACCGTACCATGAACTAACTATGTCTTTGCTTCTATTCTACACAGCTAAGGGTCTCTAGATATGACAGAAAGCCACTCAGTTCAGTGGATCTAATGCATTCTGCTGTGATCGAAGTCACTCAGAGAACCTCCACGATGAATGCTGAAACTACAACTCTGACACTGCCAGTGCCTGAGGACGGGAGCATCCACATTAAGTTTAAATTACAGGATCAAGTAGTGATGCTTTTTATTCTGGTGAGTATGTTGATTTACAGTACCTGGAATGTCGGTCCTCCGGGAAAAGCAGTGTTGGGTAGTTTCGATGTATGTAAGATGAGTAGTTTCAGTACAGTAGCGTTACACACACTCCTAAAACAGATTGTAAAACAGATTTCAGCGTGTGAGGTTTACTTTCCTTAAAGTCGGTTTAGACGGTTTATATTTTCTATATCTTGTGTTTATATTCAGGCAAGATTCCAATCCACTGAGGAAACTCTGATTGTCTACAGCAATTACTCCTCTCCTACTGGCTCATATATTCAGATCTCCCCAGTGAACACCTTACCTGCACAGGTAACTCTAAACCTATATATTGCAGTACAAGGAATAATACAGCAAACATGCTACAACATCCTAAATTATGTTATTTATTATGCAACCAAGATGTAATTCACATAATATGTTTAACTTCCAGATTGGATTGCCTCTTCAACTAGACGTGAAGAGCACCTTTCAACCAACTAAGCTTCACTTTGTGGTATGTTTGGTCAAATGTTTCCAATAATGTTATGCCATCTGCAAATAACATAACCAGGCATTTTCTTTTCTGTCTACATGAAGAACCTTGCAGAAAGAGTGCTGTAGAACTTGTAGACACAATATCCTACTGTCTGTGAGAATTGCATAACCTACAATGTCTTCTAATGGTAATATTTTCACATGACCAGAAGAAGGGAACAATTTGCATTTGTGCCCACACAACCTCAAACACTGGTGTTGAGTATGGAGTTAATTATTTTTACTTGCTATGAGAGGTATTGCTATAGTAAAACATGCTACACAGTAAGTGTAGAGATCATTACGGGAATTCGAACAAATACTTCCCTTCTGCTGTTGTACTTTCAGGTGAGCTCTAGAGGTCAAGTGGTGGCCGCTGGGACAAAAACTTCCTCCTCTTTTTCTCTGACGCCAACAGTGTCCTGGTCCCCCGAGGCCTGTGTCACTGTATACTGCATCCTCTCTGACGGAGAGGTCACCAGTGACACAGCATACATACCCATCAACCAACACTATGTACTTTAATTTTATGTTTTTTCTGTGTATTCTATCATATTATTTTAGTAGATGCATAATTCTCCTTTGCATTCTTGTGAAAGCTTGTGTGTTTGATTTCCTCA